GGGAGGAGCGGGGCGGGGGGACAGAAGGCCTGGCAGACACCCCCTCGGAGTCTGAGTGGGGGGCCGACCCCCGGCGCACACTGCCCACAATGTCTGTCAGCCGGGACGCTGGGGCCGGGAGGGGCAGGGGGGTGGGGCCAACAGGAAAGGAGACAAGAACAGGATGAAAAAATAAAACACAGAGAAATGAGACAGGAAAAATGTGCGACAGCAGGAAAAAAAAACGAACTGAATGAACTACGCTCACAGAATTGCTTAACGTACAGCAAGCTGACGGCCTCTATAGAGTCAGGTTTGGAAATCCACTGCCATGTGGATGATAAAGGCTTTTCCCTTGTGTCTGTGAGACTGGGAGAGAGCCGCAGAACAGGCGTGAGAGAAGCGTGGAGTCACACGTGTGGAACTTTTACTTTCTAATCAAACCACATCCACAAAGCCACATGGCCAGGATTTCTGGGGCGCTCTAAAATCATGTTGTGTGTTTCGGGGTTCAGGCTGTTACCCACAAAAAGTAACACAACACTACAAAACTAGAAATACACTGTGCATACATCTGGGGTCAAGTCACAATGAGTCCTTCAGTACCAACTGTAGGAAATAATTCCTTACAGAAAATATTCAAATTCAAAATACAATCCGATCGATCTTTAAGATGAATTACGCAAGAAAGCATGTATGACAGCAAAATCTCCAAATCCCACGTATGAGCTCAGCATGATCCCATGTATATGCACGGTTTCTGCTGCTAATATGCATTAGTGATGTAATGACAGGCCACAGGGGTGCGTAAGGCAATTTCAAAATGACCCTGCATACATACTGTTCTTGTCAGTTCCAGGGAGCAAAATCAGTGGAGGAAAAAAAACATACAATGTAATGAGATAATGAAAGCAATGCAGGAAGACATCTCATGGATTTGCTAGGGTGGTATCTATGCCTATTGAACCTGCAAACCCACCCGGCACGAAGGACTGAGACGCGCTACAGGGACATCCAACAGCCAAGCAGAACAGTGACAACGTGAGGTGCATCGCACAGTGGTCAGTCCATACGGGAGCAGTCATGCCCTGCGTTTCAAAGCGGGCTGCACTCCCACAGCAGGGTAACCAGGAGGCACGTGGCCTGTTTAACAGTGCCGCCTTGAGTAAAAAGACCTGCGAGAAACGTGCCTGCGAAAAGGAACTCATTTCTTTCAGAGCACGAGGGGACAGATTCCCGAGCCACAGTTTCTGAGCTGGAAAAGCAACCAGGAGGCTGTGAAAACTGATCTGCTGGGCTCTCTCAAGTGGCAGCACGACGAGGGCCTGGGCTAGATAAGCGAATAGCCACCAGCCATGCCAGCCACTCTTCCCATGATCCTTGGATTCTATCATTTTGTTTTCCATTCTGACGTCTCTCTTGCTGCCTGGGGAAGTCAAAAACTGCCCACACAGCGGATCAGAAATACGGTAGGTCGAGGGAACCTCTCTGTAAGCCTGCAGAAGCTGCCTGACATGCTGTTTGGGCCTGCATGCGGGGTTTTGTGTGCTGTGTGTGGCGAGGAAGGGCTGTATTTGTGAGGACCAAGAGTCAGAGGAGGAGCAGCTCCTGAGAGACGGGTCCGGGGACTGGTGAGGGGATCCTCACGAGACACCCGGCGTCGTCTTTCAAAACGAAAAGCACCAAAAGCCAGCAGTTTTGGGTCGACTTGCACCCCATGTCAGAGTGCCAGCCAGCAGGAGGTCCTCTCAAGTACAGAAATGCAGGCAGCAGTGTGAACGCAGGACCTTGCGCCTGGGCCGATCTCCATGCTGTACTTACTCTGGAGAGGAATGACAGGGGTGTGGGGCGGCAAGGGGCCCTGCTGGGGAGCTGGGGCACTGCTGGCCCCCCCCTCGCTGTCAGACCCGGGTCCCGAACCCCTGCGCACACAGCCCAGAATGTCTGTCAGCTTGGAAGCTGAAGGCGCAAGGGGTGGCGGTTGGAAGAGAAGCAGAGACGTTAGGACTGGAAGGGAGGGAATTAAGAGTTTGTGCAACACAGGCATCACAGAGGGGCAGGCAACCGGCCTGAGAAAGGGAAAACCTCAGACTTCCTTCAGCTGGCATCGTCCAGCGAGGCTTCAGCGGACACGCACAGCTCCAGCTTGGACTTGTCTCCAGTGCCTGTGCTAACCAGGGCAGTACTACTGGCCCCACGGTCTGAAATATACTTCCACTCACGTTCCCTGTGTGTTCATTAAAAACTACTCATACTAGAACAATTTATCCCTATCAGTCTCCGAATGTAAATTATGAGGGAAGTGGTTGACAAAATCAAGTGATTAAAGGAATAAATCATTTAAAAACTGGGCCTAACTAAGAGATCTTACATGAATTTTGTAGATTTGTTTTGTATAGTACCACAGCTGCAGCTAAAGCAGTTCCGCTTCATACCACAAGAGGGTACAAGGGAGTAGTGTGTTTTAGGCACTAATACACGTGTATTAAAAGCAGTAGCAGGGCTGTTGGTTATTCCATATTAAAGGGGGAAAAGGGGGAGATCATTACAAAAAAGAAAATCAGATTGCTCCTCTTCACAGCATGAGCTGCAGTGAAGTATTAACTTGGAAGAAAAAGTGGTGCAACTTCACTAGAGACAAAAAACAATCTTTGAACAATGTGTTCTTTAACCACACCGTAACAATGTTAAGGAGTGCAGTGGAAGGTGAAGTAGGATGAACAGGCTGAGTAAAGGCTTTTGGTTTTTAGAGGTCCATCTGTCTGTTAAAAGGTGTTAAAAGATTGCAGCCCCATATGCACACAGACACAGCACACAGACTCGCACATCAGCTCACACAAGTGGTGAGCTTGCATGAGGGGCTGGCAGGACTGGGCATGCTCAGATGGACTTACAGAACACAGCGGGGGGCGGGCTTTGTGGTGATTGGACGGCCTCCGAGTGCGAACCGGAGCTGGACTGGGCCTTTACTGAGCTGCTGTCTAGACTCTTCCCTGTTCGGTCAGGGAGGGGGGAGAGTGGAAAGAATGGATGGAAAAGGGAGAATAAAAACATGAGAGGAAAAACAAAAGAGGAATGCAGAAAAGACGGACTCGGGGGAGGGGGCAGGTGTCGACGTGAGGCCAAGGAGAGGGGCGGGGAGGAAGCCACTTGTCTGACCAGGGGCAGGCAACGTCGGCAGCAACCACCAGCCCATCTGGCCACCAGGAGCGAGAGGACAGGTCCGACCTCACCGGACAGAGGGCAGGACACTTTCCTAAGCTGTGTCCAGCCTGGCAGGTTGTGCGCTTGTGAAATCCCACGCCTAAGGGAGTGGATTGTCTGCTGACACCTTACTCAGCCCTACGCCGGGAGGGAAGGGAGGCTGATGTGAGCACTGCAATGCAAAGGGCTAGACAACAAAAATACACCAAAACGAAAATCTCAACCCACACCTCCTCAGTACTACAAATATTCCCGTAGCACAGCTGGTCCCGAAGCACCTGAAAACACACTTTTTGTGATATCTTTTACCAAAAAGAGAATATTGATACAGTTTTCATTACAAGGAGATTTCTGCTCCATGGCTTCAGTGGCAAAAGAGGAAAAAACACCAACTTGCATCTGGGACCTGGAATGAACTGAGACTGTGGCAAAGCACAAGAGCTCCTCTGTTCACACCAGCAGCTGCTGCACAGGGCCTTGTGCTGAGTTTCCTCTCTTTGACACAGGCACACACACAACACCTCTCTCACACACACACCACATCTCACACATTCCCCTGCCTCTGCTGCACTGCACTGCTGCTCTCCGAGATGTCATTTAAAATAGGCTTCACACCTTCTCTCTTACTTTCCTCACATTGCTAAAAATACACTGCAAGGTGCCCTTGCTCTGTCCCGGGCAAGTGCAGCAGCACAGGGACAGATCTCGCCACCTGAGATGTCTGTGTCTGACACTGTGTGTGTGTGTGTCATACAGACCCCCAGTGTGTGTGTGAAAAGTGTGTGAATGTGTGTGTGTGTGACAGAACCCCGGTGTGTGAATGTGTGTGTGTGCGATACAGAACCCCGGTGTGTGAATGTGTGTGTGTGACACAGACCCCCGGTGTGTGAATGTGTGTGTGATACAGACCCCCAGTGTGTGAATGAAGGATGCCTGGTGTGGGTATGTAAGGCAGTTTAAGCTCAGTCATACCTTTGACATCCTCATCCTCAATGGTTGTGTTACTGCTGTCAGACGACTCCTGCAGAGACCAGAAACATATCTGTTAGTACACACCATTACTCATCATGTGCACACACACAAACACGCCTGCTTTAGGCTTCATTCTCTCACACACCATATTTACCCACACACCCACTTACCTGTTACAGCCATCGTGCTCCCACACAGTCAAACACTCACCCACATCACTCATACAGACAAACACACTCACTGGACACACTGCCGCACAAAACACTGGAGCAAACAAAGACACACAGGCCTGCCTACTGCTTTTCATTTCCAAAGACTGAACAGCACAGGAATGAACTAATGGAACATAAGAGCAATACAGCAGAGGTCACAAGTTGTGTCACAGCCAGCCTCCTTATCCATTGGATTGACTGACTCAGAGCTAAGTCATGGCCCTGCCATGGTAGTGATACTTCTAGTTGGGGAAGAAAAGAAAAGTCTGACAGCAGTTATAGCTGCATCCACCAGGTGGCAGCACAGTGTCATAGTGGTGACGGACCTCAGAGCATCCTGCTCAAGCACAGTGCCCGATCAGTCCACCCAGTACACATGGGTCACACCCCTACACATACACGTTTGGTGACTCTCTTAAAACGTCATGTTCAACACTGAAACTTCTTTCCATCGGTTGAATCCTCGTTAATACAAAAACATACTGTTCAGAAAAGGTCCACCTGGCAAAAGTTCTTTGCATGCCCAACTCTGCCCCCCACCCCCGCCAGGCGAGAGCTGAGCTCTACAGCCGTCTCTGCTTTGCCTCCTCTTTCTGTCAGTTCTGCTAGTTCTGCCCAGGCTGGTCTCGACACCGGTCTTTAAAAGCCGAGCCGCACCCAGCTGGGGTTTCCGAGAGAGGCTCTCCAGACCCCCCCCCCTCCAGTTGTTACGGATGATCGTGACGAGGGAGGCAACAGGAGAGAGTTGTCCTTGTTCTCACCGGGAGATCTGGCGCAGATGAACCGTCAAGAGGCTTCAAATATGGACGACAGCCAGCATGCGATCCCTTTAAGAACACCACAGGCCTGAAAGCCGTGTTCTGAGGCTGACATGAATAGGCCAGCACTAACGCCCCCACCCCAACACTGGCAGCTTCTCCTGACCCGTCTCCCTCTCAGAGGGCACAGCCCTGTGTCTGGGCTTCAGGGCAAATGCCATCATCGCTGTGCCGTACGTGGATTACGACTTACTGCATTCTTTCGGACTGAATTTCAGCCGTGCAGGACAGACAACAGAAACAGACAGGATAACAGAAACAATACGAGAACAAACCCAAACTCCACAGCTATGACATGTCTAATTCTCCTCTGGGTGGGAGGCGTGAAGTACACCACAGACTGCTCCAGGAAAGTGACGTAGCTACAGACTGGCAGGGCTTAACTGTACAGGGCACAAGCTGCTATGATGAGGTGTATGCTGCCAAACGAGACTTGTTTTAGGCACTGGGTGGTGATGAACAGAATGGAAGTCAGAACAGAGAGAAAGAAAGAGGCAAGCAGAAATGCAGACAGAATAGGAAGTGGAGCCCCCACCGACATGGGCTCGGTGTGTCAGAGGTCAAAGGTTTTCCGTGCTCATAATGTGCTATCATTTTCCTGTGCTCAGTCTTTCACTTCCTAAGATTCTCACACTCCATGTGAAAACACAGAGGACTCACTACATCACCTCTGCTGTGCGGGAGGACACAGGTCTCCTTCGTTAACAGCTACTCCAACTAATTGCTAAAAGGCAAATTGTCCAGTTAAATAATATTTTTTTCATTTAAAAACTTCTAGAACTACCTTTCTTTCCCAGAAAGGAAACTGCAGCAGGGGCTCTAAATTGGGCATTTTAATTTAACTTGCTAGTAAATATTTTTAATGAATTTGTAAGTCTGTTTGAACTGTCTATCATTATCACCTTTGCAGATGCCAGTTTACAAGAGGAAATTGTAATTCAACCCACCTTTGCCACTGAAGAAAAGAATATCTGCCAGTATACCTGCAGCCCAGCTGAGCAGCTCTTTATATACTATGACCTAGCACCACAGTGCCAGAGCTTCAGAACCCACTTCTGGCCTACTGACCAGTGCTGCTATTCCCTGGTCAGCCACAGGGTGGTGCTAGCGTGCACAGGATATTATCCCACCAGGACTAAGAAAAACCCTGTACAAACTCAACACCTAGGACTGGGGACTCCCAGTTTACAAAGCGACACAACAGGGATCAAACTCTGTGACCCCTAGAGAGCATGGCTCACCCTGACCCTGGTGAAACCCGTTTTGACATGAATATACAGACGCACAGGGTGTAGCACAGGGTGATCTGCGTGGGGCAGGCATACGTCCTTGTGTGAACAGGAGGAGTGACAGTCAGGCTGCAGAGAACAGAAGGAGGGATGCAGACAGAGGGAGAGAGGAAAGAAGGATGTACCTTGATCCCATCCACTGGATTATGGATAACAGTGGTCTGAGGCTCCTAGAGAGAGAGAGAGAGAGAACAAGAGAGGAAGGAAGTGTGGGTGTGGTGGGGGTGGCGAGAGGTGAGAGACAGAGATAGAGAGGAAAGTGGTGAGAAGCCAGTAGAAAAAAAATTGAGATGGAGAAAAGAGCAAAGGGGAAAGAAAAGGGCTTCAGCTCGGAGAAAGAGAATTAAAGGTTCCAAGACAAGAGGTTAAGGGATGGGGGATCGATCCAAGAAGACACCTTAAGCCGAAATAAAAAAGAATAGTAGCACGCAGGGTAATGAAAGCCGTGCCCGCAGTTAAGGCTGTGTTAATAACTCTGCTTTGATCGAGCGCTGTCCGAGAACTGAGGGCAGCCCCACACTTCAACCCATTTAACTGAGCAACCCCTCTTAGACCTTAGAACTGCAGAGCGTCCTAGTCCTAGGCAGCTGGTGCACACCCTGCAGCATGTTGTATCCTTCAGCATGGGGCCCTTGCTGTAATATTAACTCCCCACAGTGCGCTGACCATAACAGTACAACAACGTCTGCTGCAGAGCAGCGCGGCACAGAATCGCACTACATTAAACAGCTCTTTATGGACAAAGAGCTCCTGCATGCAGTTCAGCTGAAGTACGTCTACTACACAGACCTCAACACGAATAACTGCAAAAGCAGCCCTCCACACTGATCTGCACAAGCTGCACCGTCTGTGCAGGCTCTGCCCGGGAGTGTGGAGGCAGTGAGCCGAGCCTCTGTTTGTGTTGGTGTGAAATGATGCAATCTTGGATCATTAAGAGCTTTCACTGAGGCCTCGTGATTAACGGTGTTCTGCGGGTAAGTGACAATAAATCTGGTTCATGCAGTTTTAATGAGTAACAAGTCCTCTGCGCGCTGCTTATTAATTATAGATACGGGGCCCTCTGGCTGAGGCGGTGCGGAGTCTTGGCGCAGGAAGCGCCGTGGTCACGGTGGGGCGGCAGTGTTGAAGGCCATGGGAGGGGTGGCGACTGGCCTGCCGCGCAGCGCTGCGCAGCCTTGTGGTGCAGGGGTGGGGGGGCTGTCATGCTGTGCGGTGAGCACTGTTGCATTGCCAGGAACCACAAGAAGCCCGAGTGACTGACTGCAGTGCGAGCTGCAAGGGGACAGGAGCTCCAGACGAGAGGAGGCCTGTCTGGCCTGTCTCTGATCCCGCTGATCTCGCTGATCCACGGGTCTCTGGAACGGAGTTAAAGGAGGTAAACCGGCTTTGCATGTCTATTTCAGAAAGCGGTCGAATTCCCTCACTGATCTCAGTGGTATAGACCAGGGATGCTGGGACGGTCACTGGAAATCTTTCCGGCTGTCCATCGGGATGGACGCCCGCAGCTGGCCGAGGCCCTGCCCCCTTCCTCTCGCTGGCTCCTATGGCTCGGTTTCCGGCAACTGCTCTCGGGCCTCCCTCTCCCTTCCGTACAGCTCCTGATTACGTCCCGCTGAGGTCAGGGAGAGGAAACCTGTCGACCTGGTTGGCCACCCCTACACCTTGGCGTCCAGTCAGGATCTGTCCCCGTGGGGCTCTCTGGAATCTGCTCCCGCGGCCCAAACAGGATCGGGCAGCGGGGACAGGAGGGACCCCCTCAGACGCCGAGAAAGGAGAAAGGCCGTGATGCCGGACTGGATGAGGCTCCACAGCAGACGCCCGTTGCCCGTTAAAGCTTGGCTTCCGTTTTCTTGTTTCCAGGTTGAAATGAGCAGCACACGGAGGCGGTGCCGAACCGCGGCTCAGTGTCCGAAGAGTTCCAGCCTCGTGGTTGCACCCGCCTGCCTGGTTTCTGTGACGCGGAAAGGGCGTGGCGTGTGGACACAAGCGCCTCCGTCTCTGCCCGTCGGGTCCGACGCTCCGGACCGCTAGGCAGTCCGACTTGCTGGCCTCTGAAGTTTCCAGCAGGGTTTTTACTTCGCTTGCCTTTTCTTCTTGTTCTCCCCACAGGTTTGGGGCCTGCACTGAGACTCCACTGCCACACAGGCAGGCACATCTCCTGCCTGTATCCCAGGGAGCCTGGACCCGTTTAGATGCTTTTTTGGACACTTGTGCTTCTTTCCGCCTTATCCTTCAGGCTTTCTTTGGGGTGGATACTGGTTCAGATGGTTTTACGCAGGAATATATGTTTCAGAAGAAAGATGTGTTCCCACTTTGCTGATATCCCACCGAAATGTACATATCAACCTCACAGTCATTTCCTTTAGAGCACTGTATATCTGATATGGACCCTCTCACTGGACAAAACTGTAACATAATCTGTATTACACTGCTTCCCTGCTGCCAACAGGTCTCCCTGGAAAACTGATCTCCTCTCAGAAACCAGTCACTCTGTCTCTTTCATTACACTGACATCATCTCCATGACAACTATCATCCTCAACAACTGCAGCTACAAACACCGGTAATTAGGGATCAGCAGAGTACCTGGAGTTTCATGATAAAGGAAGATGACGGATAGAACAAATGAAAGAAGAGGGGGCTGTACAATTCCCGGGGGTGAAATTCCTCTCGATTTTAACACTTCGGCAGTTTTTAACTAATCTGTTATAAAAACACCTTTGCTGGCTGAGCTTATTTTCACCCAGTCTGTGTTACTACTGCCTTGCAGCAGAGGGTCGAGTCTGGAGCCACTTAGCCTGAGAACAACCAAGAGTGGAAATTCGGTATTATCCTCCCAGTCCTTACAGCAAGAGCAAAGCCCTGTCAGATTGTCAGAAAGCAGCAGTTTTGAGACTGGGAAAATACGCCTGTGTTTAACCTTGGGTGCCATGCAGGGCCTGACGCAGACAGTCAAGCAGGCATTTAAATAATGGGATGCAGGAAGTACAGTGAGCACATTGCACTGCTCCTTGGGGTACTCATTTCCCATAGCAGGGCTCCATTGAAAAGTCTGAGAGACACACTTGTGTTATAGCGCCTAACCAGAGGTCTCAGAGTTGCACTGGTGTGAAACGTGTGCTGCCTGATAATGGCCTTTCCCTCTGAATCCCCACATTCCAAAGTCTTGGCCAGCTCCAGGGCCAACCCCGATATCTGGCACACCTCGGACATGAAAGCTACTGCCTGCCGCTGAGGCCTCTGTAAAGCACTGCGCTCAGACACGCAAACCGTAGTGCATCGCTCTTGGCATGCAAACCGAGCACCATTATCCTTCTGTACTTCACCGAGACAGCAACAGCACAGCAATTATTCAGAATCGGCTCAGGACCAAGGGAATGCAGAACTAATGACACCAAGCACCGCTTTAAAGAAGGTTAAAAGGATTAAACAGCAATAATTAGCGTGAAAGAAAGGACATCAGAACCTGTCGGGAAAGTGAGACCCTTTGCAGAAGGTGTGAAACACAAATGTACAGTGAGACAAGTGAGACACAGGTGTAGAGGAACCGAATGGAAAAAACTGTATGGAGAAGAACTCAGTGAGTCAATGCAGCACAGTTTCTTGATATTTAAAATCATAGTTTCTGCTGACTGTTGTGGAATTCAGTCTGTCACATGCTCAGCAACACAGAGAGACTTGTGATCAAATTAATTTGGCATAAATCAAGGTCATATGAGCTTAAATGAAGATGCTGTGTAGAGCAGCCTTCTTGGGCTCTGTGGCTGCAGCTAAAGCTCCCGTATATCATACCCACGCCCACTCATAAACATGCACCCCCTGCCCCACCCACACATTACAAACAAATACAGCCATGGAAACCATTCTTCCCAGAGGCTCAGATTACAGAACGCACGAGTGTGATGTTTCACAATTACTTTCATGGCTGCATTGACTCTGGAGGGACACAACAGTCCTTTCACTCACCCTTGCGGTTCTTCTATTTCGTGGGAATGTGATGGAAATGGCGAAGGGGATTATGGCACCTGTGATACACCAGTGCACAGAGGCATCCGTGATACACTGGTGCACGATGACACTTGTTATACACTGGTGCACGATGGTACTCGTCATACACTGGTGCACAGAAGAGAAAGTCTGTGCTTATGACTTATCTGCAACCTTTCAGAAAAGCATGTGTCATACAGCAGCCATCTCTGTTGTGTGAGAGCCACTACATGCTCACCTGAAAGGGCAGCAGCAGTGCTGGCATAAAGAAAATGTGAAACAGGACTGGTAACACTGACACACAAGCATGCAGCGCAGAAGTCATTTTCAGAGCCACTTTGAGCTCAGCGCAAATCTAATCTAACATCCCTGAATGGAGGTGCTGTACTGTACATTCCAATTCCCTTCTTACAGAAAGAACAGCACACCTGAAGACTGGAGCTAGTACTTCTGAGAGGTAGTGTTTAGTTTGAAAAAGCAGTTTCTTTTTAATTTATTATATAAGAATTTAATTGGATGTATCTCCCAACTATACATTAGAGACGGTGGCTAATTAAATTACACACCCATGTAGTGTGTGTTTACGATGTAAATATATGTGGGTGAGTTAACTTTATAGACTGTATAATTTACCATGGTAATTTAAATGCGCCACACAGTGTAAACATTAGGGTTTGCACAATTTGCATATACCAGCATCTATGCATGTGCAAAAGTGATCAAAACCTATTTTACGTCTTATGTTATACACTTTACAAAATACATACTGCATGTTATATCCAGAATCTTGAGAAAATTCAAAACACAAGCTTAGAACAAAGATAAACATGTTCACACTGAAACAGCAGTGAAGACACTACTGTAGTGTATGGCCAGGCTATACTGTGTAGGGCACATAGACAAAGAGGACTGTCAGTAGCATATAGCTTTTTAGATCACTGTGGCACTAGTGGCAAATTCAATGACAGGAAATGGTCTATGGAGTTAGACAGAGACAAAAAACACAGACAGAGGATGAGAGAACGAGAATGAGAAAGACAGATAAAGAGTTAAATACCAGAGCAGGAGAAGGGAGGTTTCCTTTTGGACTGGTGACTATGCTGTTTTTCGTGCTGTTTGACTGCGGCTGTGCAGAAAACACAACACAATGTTAAAATACGTTAAGAGAACACAAGAGACACTTTGCTGGTGCACCTTGAAATCAGCTTACAGCTCCTCAAACCAGGTCTGGCCAGCCACAGGCTATGAAACTGTAGATTCACTACAGCGAGCCCAGTCACGTGATGACGAGTTTATTCTCAATATCGAATCCGATCATGAAATCCGATGAGCTCCTATCAGTAGGCAAGAGTGATTAGTCCATCACATGTGCTCGTGTGTCACAATGAGTCACATTCCCTGGTAAATGGTTCTAATGCACTTTTACGCTACAGGTCTGTCAGCCTATCACCTTCGCTACAATGGGACAAATGAACCAATCACAGGTGTTTGTTCACAAAGGCAGTGCTGGGCTGTCCAGACATAAGGAGATAAGAACTCTCAATTCTACAAAGCCAAAGCAGTGATCAGAGCTCTTGAAGAGCAAAGAAGTAGCTGTCGTTTCGTTCCAGCTCATCAAGAACCGGATCACGATATGAGCAACCACAACATGAGAAAACGACATGGAGAACACAGGGCAGCACAGGAACAGAGACAGAAAGTGCCACTCACACGCCAGAGACATGTCACACCCAGGCACGGCCACACTCAGCGCACATGGCAGCTCTCGCGGGCACCGTCAGAATACTGAGACCACTGTGCACCTGCACCCGACTGATAAACTCGCACATCACAGCCCGGCGGTAAGATCTGGTGGGCGGCGCAAAGACGACATGCTGGCAAGAAGATGTCTAGAATCCCACTTTGTTCACTTGAAGCGGCCTGCCCATCCACTGACGAAGACTGACTGCTTTCGAAACACTTTGAAAATCGGCATTAAGAGGGTGGCGGGCAAAATGCAGTCAAACGTTCAATTTAAAGAGTTTAGCAGCCTGCTGGTTAAAAGGAAGGTTATGACAACACAAACAATGAAAAAAAAACATGAATATCTCTAAATTCTTCAGGAAAAGGAAGATATCAAGGCAGGAAATGGGACAGTCACTGATGCCAGAGCAAAGCTCATGGTTGTCAGCTATCCCCTGGGGTTAAGGATGTTTTTGACAGCTTTCACAATGACGTCTGACTCAATAATGGCTACTGAAGGCATATCTCATTCTCTCCATCTCGGATACTGCAAAACCTCCTGGATATATATCACATATTGTTGAAATACAACCTCAAGGCCATGACTATTTTGGAAAGCTGGGAATGTTGAAACTACGACCTGAGCGAAGATGCTCCAGTTTTTAGTTCCCATTTTTGAACGCAGGGGCAAAGGTATTTTTTTCCAGTTATCTGGCTGCCACTCACTCAAGGTCAGGCAAGCCACCTGAACTTAGTGTTCTCCTCCAGCCCACCTGCTTCACACAGCGGACAAGTCAGCTGCCACGATCTTCATACAGCCTGCATGTTTATAGGCACAAAAATGGGGTGTGAGATGCCTATCAGTATGCACAGGTACGTATTAACAATCCTAAGCAGAAATACAATACAACCCCGCACCCTGAAAGGTTAACAAATAAAATTCTTCCAAGCAGACTGCCTGTCCTCGATTTCCTCCACTCCTTTCTTTCACCTCCTCTCCTTTCCTCTCCTCCCCCCCCAGGCCCCCCATCGCTCGCTCCTTCCTTCAAGAGCAGAAAAGATCGCCGACAATACACTTTCCCTTGCAGAAATAAAAAGGCCAGCAGTCCTACTGGGAATACTGCTAGGAGAGGTTATTACCCCGGCGACAGCTTTTAATACAGGCTGTGGGAAGAGGAATCAAATTCTTGTCGTTCTTTGTGGGGTTTTTCTTGTGGATTTTTAACAGAGCTGGGCTAGAGGAAATTGGAAAAAAGCTTTCTCATCATTTAGCGTCGAACATTTGACATGACTTGGAGCCATCTGCCATATTTACCACGAGGTTCCCTCCTACTGTTCTGCTTCTTTCTTTCCCATTATTAAGTCTCACTAAGTGTGACCTTACACATTCAACACAAGCTTTTCTGGCTTTTAAGGCTTTAAATAATGTCTCCATCACAGATCTCTGAACTCACAAATCTCTTTCATGTTTACACTCCTTCAAGAGAGAAATTCTTCGACTCTCTAAAAATCTCAAATCAAAACTAACCCTCCATTCTATCCTGTACGTTCCTGTTTCATTTTTTCTTTTACTTTTTGTTTATCAGGATGTACAGAGTCCTTGGGTTTGGAATGGCACTTTATTATTAAGAGTTATTACTAAAACTCCTCATAATACTAATAATAATCCTATTTTGCAGCGCTGAACCCTTCAATCTCCCTTCTCTCCTTAAAAACCCTCTCCTCCACCTCTCTGTGTTTCGGTCTGGTCTGCCCTCCTCTGCAGCAGCTCCTCTCAGTGTTGCGATCTGCAAGGCTCCTTGCAGGAAGACAGACTCATGAACCCTTTCTGTCTTGTTGGCATTTGAAAGTCTTCACCAGTAGAAAAGCTCTACAAATTCTGAATCTGGGCTTCTGGCCTGGCAGGGCTGCAGAGTCGTGTCAAAAGACATTAGATTGCAGGATGTTGGTGGGAACTGGCCAGAGGTCATCTCACAGACAGCCTGATGTGAACTGTGAGGCACTGGAATTAAACCTCAAAACTTTTTCTTTGTGTGAATGTAAAAATGAACTGCATTTTTAGTTTCACCACACCGCAATAAAATGTGTTTTTCATTAAACCCTTGACTCATTGTTTGTAGATGATCATTATTTTACAGATGTCAAAACTCATTATCTTTTAAAAATATACAAAACTGATATTTAACTATCTAATAAATCACTGAGCACACCTTATATAAAACAATCATTTGACAACCTAATAACATCAGAATATTCTACATAGTTACATCAGCTGGGCAGACAGACCTGACAGGAATTAAAGTCCTGTAAATATTCCATTGCATAAAAATGAAAACCTTTTTGAGTTACTGGCTATAAGAAAGCATTGATTCTACAATATATGAGCACCTTTTACTTTTACTTTACACCAAAACTAAAATTCAGGCCCTGAATGGTTAACGAGACAGAGGAAAAAGACACAAGTCCAATATTTTGTCTTCTTTCACCTGTTTACTTCAGAACACTGCTGAGGTTTCTGAGGCTACAAAGCCATCTCTGCAAATAAGAAAAAGCTGTCTTCTCTTGGGTTGCAAGGGAAAAAAAATTAAACAAGAACATCTGTCACTCAGCTGAAAGCCACAGTAGGACAGCAGCTCTGCAATTCAATTGCTTTTTAGAGAAATAATCCACTGCCACTGGGACTCTCAGCTTCATAAAGACCCATCCGGACATCAGCAACAAACAGGAAGCATGCTTACAGCAGAGCAAGAGTATAAGAAGTGCCCCACAGCTTTCATTTTAAAAATGCAAAGCACAGAAACACCTTTCCAGCTGTGGTCACCTATAATTTCAGTCACTGAGTGCACGAAAATTAACATCCCATCTCATCAATAACTTCAAACGCTCAATCACACGCTATATTGATCCTATAAGAAGCTTAGTCTAGCTCGTGCGTAAATGTCAAATACCATATAAAACCTGGTAAAATACCAAAGGAGATTAGAGTCAGCTTATCTGATAACTTGAAAATGCTTCATCAAAAAAATAAATCTCAAAACAAAACAGTTCAATAGCAAGAGAAATACAGTCTCGCTGCACTCCCACTGTACACAGCAGGAAATTAAATTAACGTCACTTAATCCAAGGTTTCACCTTAATCCCAATGAGAAATGTCAGTAATACCAGCAGCAACTGTACCCAGCTCAGCCGCCCCATGGCACCAAACCATCGAATGGCTTGGTGGAGGCACCACTCCAGCAAAAAAGATTGACTTACTCACCAGGAACTGTTTTCTTAAATGATTCGGAATGGATGGAAAGTTCGCAAGATGAAGAAAGAAATACAGAGGGACACGGAAGGTCAAACAAAGTGATCCCCCTCAAAAAAAAAAGGAAGCAAAAGCAACAAAAAGGAAACTAAACTCTGCGATGCAGGCAGGGATAGTGAGACGGGAAGCGAGGAAGAGAGGCGGAGAGATTCAGGAGAGAGATTGGGATTAAAAATGACATCCTCACCATGTACTGAACGGTAGAGCTTGATTTCCTTTTCTGGCTCGGCGATGGAAGGATGAAGAGGGAAAGAGAATGAGAGAGTGTGAATATTATGGAGAATGTCTAGCAAGAGTTTCCTGCTTTATTTCCAATTATTTACTTTCTCATCTGCCCAACCCTATTTCCTGAGCTGTTCCAATCTCTTAAAGAGCAAATGAATAAATGTCTGTGAATTGGGAAAAAAAAAGTGACTGCTTCATTGTAGTTTGTTTACGCTTGCACATATTCTTTGCTTTCGGTTTGCATGGGGATATAGCACCTAAATTAAATCTGTTCAGGATATCACATTTTTAAAATGACTGAATACAAAAAAAAACCACACACACACACATAGGAAGGATTACACAGGTAATTGTAAGGCAGAGTCACATACTGTACATTATAGGAGTGACAGGTTTAGCGCAGGATCAGGGAAAATTCACTTGTAATGGCACACCCAGGGGGCGCTGTTCTCTCTGCCCGAACCGGTGCCAGCCAAGGCACAGGCGAAGCTGAGCTCCAGTTTCTGGAGTGAACAAATGAACAGAGATCTTGACATGTGATCGCCACAAGAAAACCGTGATCCTCCCCCGAGGACGTCAGAAGAAAGCAGGGCCATTAAAAAAAATGAAATGCACAAGAGATCCAGCGGTCTGGGGGGCAAACTGAAACCTGAAAGGCAGGGATCTCTTCAGGTGGGTTTTACAGAGAGCAGGGCTCACGCCCGCGGGAGATGGGCTTGATCAAGCAAGGGCCCGCTCAGTACTGGCCACTCTGGAGCAGAGACATCAATTATCACCTCAGGGTCTGGGGCTGCTGATCTATCCCTTTAAAGCTCCGTGCTTTAACCTGCCCTAGCTGGGACTCCAGAAAGCCAGCTCTGCTAGAGACTTACAAGCAGGGTAATTTGGTGCCCTGAATTATTGGGGACAGTTGGTGTTGTGCACCATTGGGGACATCCTTCTATACCGCATCATTTTCCTTTGTACTTTGACAGATGGGCTTTGGCAAAAAAGCCCCTACTGTTCCACGTCCTGACTTGCAGGGAGCTCAGAGTTTGAGCCCTTGCACGTGTTTGGCAGATCTGACATCATTCTACTATCACACCCAGCACTGTTAGAAAAACAGAACGATCAAAACAGCAGAGACAAGACGAATGATTAACAGACAGGAGTAAAGAAATGATGACTGCATCATAATAATAACAACAGTAAAGCAAACTTAAAAAAAGGTCAAGGACCGTGAGGGGCCGAGTGTGGTGTGTGTGCATGGCAGAGGAGACAGCGCAGCTCTGACAGGCCAGGACAGTGCCCCAGTGCAATCAGGCACAGTGCTGCAGGGGGCTGCATTAGGCAGAGGGAAAAAAAAAACCCTAGAATACCAGAATACGGGTACGCGGGGAGCTGGTTGCTAGGCGACGGACGAGGCGCAGTGGAAGTGGAGCGGCTATTTCTGTCTCAGTGTTTCCAGGGTTCAAACACACCAGCTATTCTTGGAACAGGAGTCACATTCCCAGCTGAACTGACTCACAGCACAGACAGAGGAGGTGTGCGGTGGGGGGGAGCGGAGATGGAGAGTGATGGCGAGTGAGAAACAAGGGGAGAAAGAGAGGTACAGATGGAAAGAGAGTAGAACGGGAAGTGTGGGGACAGTGGCGGAGAGAGGGGAAAAGACAGGCGCGCGAGAGAGGAAAATGAAGCGGAGCCCACTGTTTCATGACCTGTCCCTCTTATTCTCGCGCACGTACTTTTTTTGACTTCCAAAAAGTTTTAAAAAACAAAAACAAAAACGCACACTACCAGAGATGGGGGAGACTTTCTTTAGCATAGCCACTTCTCAAGCGGCCCTCTAATAATATGTACAATGCTGTGACAGCTTATTCTAGCTCATCCAGGGCTTCCAAAAGTCCTTTCCCGAGCCTGTTATTGACAGATAAAACAGTTACCCTACCTGTGAGCTCTGCCCTCTAGCATCGGGGCAATACTCAAGGCGGCTCAAGCTGAATTGACAACTGGGCGTGCAGGAAGAGTAAGCTAACCCTACGCTCTGATCGTGCCCTGAAGAGCAATTATCGCAAAAGCCCCGGGTCAGTCCGAAACACACAGGAGACCACCACCGGAGTACGGTTTTCAGCCCCGTGTTGTCAAAGAACTGGGTGAAGCACACAACCTGTATCCACAGTGCTGCAGGTACAGTATGTACATGGCTGTCTTGTTGGAGAGCCTGGGCTGGAGAGAGGGATGGAGGAAAGCAAGTGGAAACTGGAGAACTGAGGGATTTGTTGCGGACGGACGGAGTGATAAGGAAAAAGTTGCAGCCTAATGCACAGGCGGGCAAAACCCAAGGCTACCCTTGGTGTGTAGTGCCAGGCTCCCCAAGGGCACGTGTCCTGGGCTCACCTGTACAGGTGATCATACAGGTGTTGCCTATGGGTTAAAGTTCTGCCTGATAAAATTAATCCGAGATCATCTCTAGACCAGGATCATGGAGGACCTGGTGACTTCCGGTTTCTGTTCCACCCGCACAGCTGGTCTAATCATTTCATTAGCTGCATTACATACTAATGCAGCTGTAATACTTCTGCATGATATACTAATTAAATTAGAATATCCAAGGAACTACCTTTAATGAAGTGAATGAATGTCTTGTGTAATTAATTGTTCAGGATTTCAGAAAAGTCCTATATACAGTACATCTAATTGATGAAATAATTGAATTATTTGACTATTCACATTGGAACAAATACCAGAAGACACAAGGCCCCCCAGCAGCCAAATCCGAGACAATATGGGCAGGAATCATCGCTCCTTTTCGGATTTCAGATTCTCCCATTTAAATCACGAAATTAATTACATGAATTATGTTCACAGTAAAAAAACAGATGCTGTGTAACCTTCACAGCAGAAAGTTGAAAGACCAGAAGAGTTGGTTTGACCAGGTTGCTTTTGTTTTTGTCCGAAGGGATTTTGTAGAAAAGAATGGAAAAACCAGTGTCCTTTCTAGGTAATTGCTATACAAAAAGCTTGCAAAACCAGGATTTTTTTCCTTTTATCTGTATTTCCAATATTACTGGAGAATTGTGCTAACATTTGTCTCACACGTAACAGTTTTTCAAACAGGCACAGCTTTCCTGAGGTTAAGAACAGTATAATAGCTTATGCACAACAATCAGTAACATCAGAGTTGAGAATGATCAATAATGAATCTGTGGGTTGCAGTATTGCCCAGCTGGAGGACGCGGGTGTAGCCGACACCAGCTCACAGAGGACCTTCAGGGGCTGAGGTGTTCCCTGAAACAGGGGTAAGCTAACACCAGCTATTCCAGGCCATGTCATTTCATTCCAGTTGGGGCATTACAGGCTCAAATTAAATTGTTTGTGACCTGTGGGGAACTTCAGAGGCATCCCATGAAAGGCAGCCTGTTGCACTTAACATGAGCGAGCATTGTCTCTGGAATGAACCGTGCTGTCAGTGTCAGCTTACGGCATTAACAAACGTAATGAGACAACGTCCCCATAAATCATTTATAAATAACTCTAATAACGATCTCATTCTTAGATGGTGCCTCCTTAACCCCAAACCCCGGTAAGAAAACCGCTTCCAGTCCCTTCCTTAAAGAGATGCACGCCTGTGTGGGCCTACCTGCTGAAAGGTGATTCTGAGCCAGTGGACAAGAAAACGACTCTTCCTTGGCCCTAACTAGCCTGAACAGGGATGCTCCAATCTGACTCTCAAACGCCAATGGTTTCTTTAGGTCTCTGTAAATTCTTTTATATAGCTTTTTATATTATCTATGGCTATACATTGAAGAAAACCCATTCTTTAATTTCACCCTGACCCATACAGCAATTTATCATCGTGGACACTGTCTGCACAGGTTGACTTAAAACCTGAACATCACACTTGCACTAGAAGAAGAGAGGACCTCAAAACCTGAACACCACTGCAGCACTAGAAAAAGAGAGGACCTCAAACCTGAACACCACTGCAGCCCTAGAAGAACAGAGGACCTCAAACCTGAACACCACTGCAGCACTAGAAAAAAAGAGGACCTCAAACCTGAACACCAATATGGCACTAGAAGAACAGAGGACCTACAACCTGAACACCACTGCAGTTGCTAGAAGAACAGTCACTACCATCACTACAACCCCAAACACCCTGGTACATAAAAGTACCAAGTCTCCATCAGTGACAAAGAGACATGTGGTGTGAGCATTTCACATCCCCCCTTCACCACACTCCTCAACACCCTGGCTTGTTTTAAAGAACTGCAAAGCCATTACCCTGTTGGCAGAAGACCTCTGGTCAAGCATTAAAATATGCGACACCGATGTAAAATGTCTTTTGTTAACGAATACTGCAAAAAAAAAAAAGCACTTTCAAGAAATACAAAATGAAGCTGGTTTTATTCACTCCTGCATACTAATTAAAGTAAACTAATTAAGCTACTGCATTTAACTACAACACTAGAACACTGTCAGATCCAACTTTTCATTTTAATGCTTTGTTTACTTTGAAGAGATGGACATACAGTACTTTATTTATTCATTCCATGTTTATATCAATCTTTTTATTCCACCATTCTATTAAAATCTCATTTCCATTTTTGAATGGTTACAACTATGTACGGCAGTGGGCTGTCATTCTTTTAACAAACCCATCTGTACCCTGGTCCCATGGGAGTCAGGTACCGTATGTGACCACTGCAGTATAGCTGCAGAATTTCCTTTTCAAATCTTCAGAGCAAACCATTTCTGAGTTCAAACGCTGGCTACATGTCACCGCAGTGGATACATACCCTAACCCCACAATGCTTCCGAAATCTAGCCGGATGAAAGCATGTGTTCTTTTCTCGAGTCACTCCTCTGTGGCACATGGGTGAAAGCAAAGGCAAACTGCCTCCTGGGTTTTAGCCAAGAATTCTCTCTGTGGCAACACAAGAGCTGTCTTGTTTAGGCCTCAGACACCTCCTTCCCAAAGTCTCAGGTAGCCTTTATACCGAACATCTTTCATAACGGTGTGATGAGGCGCTGAGATTCTTGACTGCAGCCCCTGGACCAGTGTGCTGCTAAGCTGTAAGATCAGACGCAACTTTGGGGCGTGCTCGCCCACACGCTCCCCAACTCATACAGTCACATAAGCCCACTCTCGTGTGCCTGTGCACACCCATCCATGAGCCACTGCTCACAGAGACAGAGCTAAATCTACACATAAGAGCCCCCCCCCCCAAGCACTCACACCCTTGCACACATGCGCCAGCAACAAAACACACACAAAACACTCGAGACCTTAAATGAGATCGACAGAGGTGACAGAGGCACACGCAAAGCCAGAGAGCCGGAGGGCAGGGTGGGGGGGCAGAGAGAGAGGGAGAAGAGGCACAGAGGCAGAGAGAAAGAGGCAATCAGACCAGGTGTTAGACGGTCTTACCTTCACGTCCGCCTTCTTGTTGAGTAAACTCTTGGCTGCTGCAGGAGGGAGAGAGACACAGACTCAATGGGAAGAACAGACACCGAGCACTGCAGTCTGGACAGACAGGACTGACCACAGCACTGAGCTCTGGGCCTTGTGGCAACACTACAGGGCAGGACTGAGGGCCCACAGCAGCACAGAATTAAACATGAGCAACACTTCTAATCAGCAACAGTGCCCTGCTGATTTCTCCACAGGACACGGACATCTTGACACCAAGAAACAATAATGCTGAGAAACCTCAGTGTAAGCGATTGAAAACAGCCAGTGGACAAAGTAATTAAAGACAAAAACTACAGTGAGTTAGACCTTTCTTCGTAGATGCACACTTAGGGTTTCTAAAACTTTTTACTCCAGTAAAATTCTTTTCCCATTTAGTTGTTTCAAATTTTCTTTAAGCTTTTCGAGGAGAAAAAAAAAAATTGATAGCGTTTTCCATATCGATCAGCAGAATAAACAGAAAAACAATGCAGAGCCTTTATTTCTGACACGGGCTGGTGTTTGAACCATCCCAGACATCACACATTGTGCGTATGTGTGCATGGTTCCTACTGAGGACACGTTGCTGCTGTTGACCAGTTAAGATTAAATTGCGCATCCCAGCAAATCAAGTTGGACCTTGTTGCATCCAGCTCCCTAGTTGTCTAATGGAGCTCAGGAAGAAAGGTCATGTGGAGAAGTCGTCTCTGGTGTCCACCTTGGTTACTGTGCACAGTAGTGAGAGGGTCTAGACCCGGGCTGTCCGATCCTGGTCCTGAGGGCCAGTTTATCTGCGGATTTTCATTCCAACTCAGCTCTTAACAAGCTACACCAGCCGGTTACTGGCTTAACTGGACCAATTAAATACCAGCTCCTGGGTCTTCAGATGCTACTGCTTTATAGAGACCTTACAGACCTGCAGATACATGGCACTCTGGGACCGGGACTGGACAGCCCTGGTCTAGTCACACACCTGTTTGCTCTTCTAGTTTAAGGCCCTTTATGTGCTCTGATGTGCTCTTGTTAAATGACTTGAAATGCACAGCTTTTTTTCAAGTGACTTGAAATGCACAACCATGTGCCCAGCTCTACATTGACGGAGTATAAAAATCCTCACTGCCTAACTACCAGAAATTCAGGTTTCAGACATCCCAAAAATTACAAAGTGTTGTTGTCCACATTTCTGGGTTTGTAATTTACACACTGAAAATCAAGTGCAGATGCATTCTTTAAATCAGAGGGGTCTAACTCCGGTCCTCAAGGGCTGCTGCTCAGCAGGGTTTATAGGTCTCTTTAAATCTTCACTAGAATAATGGAATTAGGCAAATAATAAACTCAATCAGGTAATTAAGAGCCTGGGTGAAAAGAAACCTTCTGGTCCTCCAGGACTGGAGTTATGCCCCTATTTAATTTTTTTTCCATTAAAGGTCTCAGGCATTCATGAACATATGTAATTTTGTTCTCCAGACTGAGCTATTATGAGTTCACATTTCAGTTTTGTTGTGGTAATCCACTGAACGCTTCACAGCAAGATTATGAGCATCAGAATGAATTCTACAGCATGCCAAATGTTGTTTTACGAAGAAACCTATCAGACAGTGCCAGCAGTTCCACTGTTTCAGTTATATATATATATTACTTATGGATGACTCACACTCAAGGGCTGGTGATTGGGGTTATCATCTGCAGAAATTTACAAACAAAGCAAAGAGGTGGAATATTTTAAAACTACATGGAATGACAGCATGTGGATCTCCCTCCATTAAGGCATGCTTCACCGGGACCGCCCAATGTGTGCTACAGTGTGATTATAGCTCCATGGGGCCGGGGTGTGGCAGAACAGGGGCCAGACCCAAGCCAGTGGGTGGCACTGTTCCTCTGTAGCACAGGTCTGAGCCGAGACCTCCTTACCTTGCAACAAATTTAGAGGAGAGTCAAGATGGCAGAGGACAGAGGAAATGAAAAAGAGAGGTTATAAAGAGAGAAAGAGATGATACTAATCGACCATTATACTCTACAGTTTCTACAGAAAGAAAAGGGGAGGGTAGGGGGTTCATATCCACAGCAAAGTTAAAATAAACACCATCCGATTATCCATCTGATCAGCTTCCCAAGAACAATAATCTTGCCTTTTCCATAACCATTCAGCTTTGTCAGTGCTGCAGCTACAGTGGGAAATGGAAAGGTGAATAAATCACAAGAGAGGGGTCTGCCCGTGCACAGGGGACTATTTCACAGATTTCCAGAAGTGTCACAAACCGACTGGGCAGGGTAGAAGAGGGGGTGGGGCTGTTCCAAAGCCCAAACTGCCTAGTGATGCCAAAAGACAACACCCCCTGGAAGATGGAGGTTTTTAAAAATAAACCCACTTGAGCCAACTGCCAACAACCACTAAAACTGAGCAACCATTTCCCAGAACAACGCAGAGGGCATCTTTTCGAGACCTACCCTGGAACTCCATGCTACTCATACTGAGATAGAGGCGTCCACTTAATCATCTGATTTGGGTATTTTTTAGCCTTGTTGACTTGGAACCTTTTGTCATTAACAGTGATAAAAGCGCTGCCAACTTTGTGAGAGGAGGAAAAGACGACAAGAGGATGGCCTTCAGCCAAGAGTCCCAGCAGTCTGTCTCCAGGTGTCCCAGGGCGCAGGTGAGCAACGTTTCTCAAGGGCCTTGCCCACCTGTCAGCCGATCAGCCAGTCTGAAAGTCAGGGTTTGGGGGCAGTCGTCTGCCGTGTTCGGGGTTTGTGTTCACGATACATGGGTTCAGGTGACATGGCAATGTTCCAGACGCTCTCATTAAAAAAAAAAACCCAGGGCCTCCATGTTTAGATTTCTTCAGTAAGCAGCTCCTTACTTTCATTGCTACCTGCTGTCTTGCTCACTGCCTGGGGCACCTGCTGAATATAACCCCCTATTTCTCCGTGCACTCCCCACAACTCTGGAGACCTCAGGGGAACCTGCTGCTTGAACCTGCTGCCATGTTCTACTCCATTCCAGCGAAGGGTTTTGTTAACTGCTCCTATGTTACCAAACAGAGTCCGGGACACTGCAGTGGAATGGACTGAACTCTTGCTTGTGAGATGCAGCAGGCTAACTGCCTATACCTCTGCAGCTTTCCACAGATCATTCACGATTGCCCAGACAGTTCACTACTGTGAATTTTTTTCTCTGCAGTGTCCGTCTGAGATGGAGACTGGCATTTGCACTGTAAAATCATCAGGACTCTCAACACCATAAAATGTGAAAAAAGACTGAATCTCCCACCTATAGCTTAAGATTCAGAGATGCATATTCTCCCTAAGCACACCTTCGCTCTTCATACGCACTCTATGCTAGTATACAGACTCTAGACTTACACACAGAACCCCCTATCCTTACATGCAGATTTGATACAGTGCTTGTACACAGACGTCTCACATGCATTCCCACCCCCATGACCCCAGCTCATGCACCAGGCCAGTCTTCACGTCACATGCAGCATTCAGCAGGCCAGCGGGCAGGCAATACCATCCTTCAAGAAAGAGGGGGCGGTCCCACAGGCAGACTGAGAGAGACGGGAGCAGACGGAAGGAGTTGGGAAAGGTGAGGGAAAAGGGGAATGTTAGCAAGACGAAAGCCAAGAAAAAGGAATGAACGTAACACAAACCAAAATGGACAGAAGAGAAGTGACGGAGGGAGGCGGGGGGGGTGGGAGAGGGAGTGAGAGAGCGGAGAGGGGCAAGACAGAAAAAGACAGATCGAAAGGCAGGCATGCAGGGTCCAGTGATGGCAATTCAGGAGATGGAGAGGACATGGGAATCGCTCACTTGGGGACAGAGGAGCTCCAGCCCCTCAGGACAGAGCTGGAGAGTCACAGCACTCTTATCACCTTGTACTTTGCAACCAGTTGAGCTTCAGCCCATCAGCCAGATGGAGAATACAGCCTGGAGTGGCCCAGCCAGCTCTGCAATGGGGATCTGCTCTGTGCCCTGAACATGACGGGTGACTGCAGGGGAGAGCTGCATCTCTGTTGCATGCCCAGGCTCCATGCAGGAGGAGGAGGAGGAGTGGGGGGGGGGAGGGAGGCCAAGGCGGCCAGCAGAGAAAGCAAAGGAGAGGAGGAGAGGGTGAGGGGGTGAGAGGGCGCCCCCTGGTGCGTGGCTACCTTGTTCCACCAGCCCAGCAGCAGTGCCGGCGGCAGCGGCAGTGACTGTAGCCGGAGCCGTAGTCTGCCGGCCCACTGTTAGTGTCACACAACACCACAACAACAACGACGACGACAACAACAACCGAGAGAGAGAAAGAGAGAGCAGAGGGGAAGGAGAGAAATACCATCGTTAGTCAGCAAAAGGAAATGTCAGAGAGACGCCAAACTCTCCTTCCCGCCAGAAATGCTATCCGATTCATCGTTTAAACACAGGAAGAAAGAAACTAGGACCGTTTCTAGGGAAACCCCTGACCCGGAGCTTCTGCAGTCACCCTGATTTCAGAATCCACAAGCTGCAGAACGTCGTAGGAACATTGCTTATCTTAAAGCACCACGAATATGTTATTGTAACTGTCTGCGCGTGCGGATTTCTCTGGGCATGTTGTTCTGTATTTGTTGTCTATACCCACCCAGTTTGGAATGTGCTAGCTGTGTCTTTGTGTCTCGGCTGCCAGCGACGACTCCTGTACTGCACAGGGAGGAAGAGGAAGAGCTCTGGTCTGGCTTGCCCCTGCCCAATCTTTTTGCCCCCCACCGACATGGCCTCCCCTGACAGCGCCCGCCCAGCTGTGTGCCACCACCTGGGCGATGCCAGCTCGGCCCAGCCCCATCTGGGCTCCAAACGAGCAGCTTTTATTGGAGGAACCACACGGCACAGCCCCTGTCTGTCCAGATTTATTCCCGGTAACAGGCCGTGCCACAAATAGTATAAAAAGCTCGGAAAAGTGGCCGTAACCGCAGTTCAATGGCAGTATTACCTCCAAAGTACATCGGCGCTGCCTGCAAGAGAAACAAGCTTTCACACAACCTGGGTAAAGTCCTGCTTAGGTCTGGCATCCCTACCAGACAGCTGATCTGGAAAAGAGCTGTGTACTTTTATATATCGAAAGCTCCACCCATTCTCACGGGGCGGACAGGTGCCCCCAAATCCCTGTGCTCTCACTAGCCCTCAAAACGCTTTGGTGTCACGTGAGATGACATCTTTGCATTTACAGCCCTAAAAAGCCTTAAATGACTCCTCCAAAAACCCTGAAGATGAGATAATTACAATAATAATAATGACGGTGGTGATAATGATTAGGTGTAAGGCAGCACACATTCCTTGCTCACCGGAGGACTGGGAGAGCTCTGGGAAGGGGGGATTTGTGAACACCCTGCTGTGCAAGAGAGAGCATGACCGCCCACGACAAAGACCCGAGCAGCCCTGACCCTCTCCAGGCTGCTGTCGGAGTGCATTAGAACAGGCAGGTATCACCGCGCAGTGCCCAGGAGTGTGAAAGAGTGTGCAAGAGTACACAGGAGTGGGCAGGAGTGGGCAGGAGCGTCAGCCACATCTCTAACTCCAGGCACCCTGCCGCCTGCCTGCACACAGGGCGTCAGGACGCGGACAGCCCCCTGCCTGTGCCACGCACACATTTGAGAAAGAAGTGCCACAGCAGCTTCCAAAGAGAGTCTAATCCTGACGGCGTGGGCGCAAATCGACCCCTTTCTTCGCTCCGTCCCTTCACTGCTCGGACAGATCTTGGGGCTGCGCTCCGCTGGGACTGCTGCTTCCTCAGGGTTTTGCACCCCAAAATGACCGCCATTGCCCGCCTCCTACAAATCTATCAACGGATTCCTACTCTGCTGGTTTGTACCGTGGAGAGGTCTCCTTTTACAGACGGTGGCTTTTTTTTCCCCATGCAAAGCAAACTGGACATCCGCTCTCTGACAATCTGACAGTGACCTTCTACAGTAGTCCGGTTCAATCGTCCTCTGCTGTGGACACTAGCCCAGTCTGCAGCATTGCTGTCTGGTCCAGCGGGTCCCTCACCCAACCACCCTGCTTCACCTTCGCCGTCCCCTCGAGAAGGAAAGGGCAGCATCAGTGGGTCTGACAAGCCACGCTCTGGAGGCTACCCACAAATATTGGCGTTTCTAGGTTTTGACGGCTCCCTTCCTTAGACCCCTTGCTCTCGGCTCTCTGCAGCTTTCAGCAGGGACTGTCACAACACCGGCAGGGTGCTGTGTGCTTTTCAAACCCAGCACTTGCTGCGTGGGAGACTGTACTGTCACCAGCATTTCAAGGACGAGCCTATATCCTGTGCCTCGGGCGGTTATATCAACTCCCTACTCTACTCCTGACTTTCTGAAGGCGTTGAAGGGTTTCTAACAGGTCAGGGCAGAAGGCTTACTTGTTAGGGCTAAGGGAAGTCCAAGCCTCTATCTTCAAAAGTGTTTTTACTGAAACGGATACTAGGTTGAAATATAAAAGGGCAGGTATCACACATGACAAGTGATCTTGCCTTGGAATGCTGTAAAAAATGTTACTTAGGAAAACCAGGCCACCCGGGCAGTTCTCTGTTGTTTCATCGGCTCAGACTCTTCGCCACCCTGTCTCCCTCTCTCCAGCAGGAAGGGCGCTGTGAAACTCCGCCTCCGGTGGACGAGTTGGGGTGCAGCGGCAGTGAAGCTCCTCTTGAGCACAACCTTCAGAAACGGAGCTCTCTGCCAGCGGGAAGTTAATTGTCCTGCCCCCAACGCAATTTGATTAAAATAGAGACTCCCCGCTAGAGGATTTTTTTATTCCTTTTTCTAGGACAGTCACCAGGAATGACAATAGACGCAGGAGGCAAGCATCCCAGCTACAATAAGCGGATGTGAGAGGTGACAGTAAAGAAAGGAGGCGTGATGTGACCCGCTGCTCAACAGTCCCCACGACAGTGATGTGTGAGAGGCAGCTCAGCCGAGACATGAACTTTTTCTACACATATTCCTCACTCACCAGAGAAGTTCCTCGTAGCCAGCATGGTGGTGAGGATTGCCCCCTGCAGAGGAGAGAGAACTGGTTGATGACAGAAAACAGAGTTCAGAGAAGAGGCTAGTGCTCACACTGGGATGATATAATTACCCCAGTTAGTGGAGTACCGCAGGGACCTGTATTTGGACCACTGCTCTTCCTACTGTATCAAGGATCTAGGCTCTGGTAAACCAGTCAAGATTTGCAAACACCTGCAATACGATTTTTGAGGCAAGTGCGATGTATCAAATGCAGGTAACAGAAATTTAAACCATAAATATAACATGGGAAATACTGAATTAGTAGGGGCTACTCATGAACATGATGGAGGTGCTTGCAGTATGTTATGATATCATTAACATTTTCTAGGAAATGTCGGGGAGCAATTCAGAAGACAAGATTGTGTCCTTAACAAGTGACACCACAATTAAAATAGCAGAAAACTTTGGTTTCTACATTACAAAAGATTATACTGCAGCTCTGGAATTGGTTCAGGTTCATTCTGGGGCTGAAGGGAGAGCCCTGCACTGACAGGCTGAACAAACTGAGCCTTTTTTGAACAGAGATTTCGAAGGCCCCCGAGACAAGTGTTCAAAATCCTCAAAGGTCAACCCAACAGACTTCTGAAACACCAACCAGAGGACACGAGTGAAAACCATGTGTACATGCATTTTAAACCGAGAACAGGAAGATCTTTTAACAAAGGTCTGTGGGAGTGTGGGACAAGCTGACCAGCCATGCCTTTGAAGTCAATACCTGGGCATCTTTCAAGAGAGAGCTGGAGGATGTCCTTTAGATCAATTAGCTCATTAGCAGCCAAATGAGCTAAAGAGGATGAATGCCCTCCTCTCGTCCGTAATTATTCCTCTGCTCTTGTTAGGTCTGACAATTGTGAATTGCTTTCACTTTCAATATAGTTAGTGTTTCTTAGTCCCCAAATCCATCTCCGACAGCACCTACACTTTCCCCCTTTGCTTATTTAATTAAGTCTGTCTGAACCCTGCAGACAGGCATAGGTACAGGTGACCAGACATCAGTTAAGATCACCTAAAAGGTAGCAGATAAGGAGCACTTTCTGCTCATCGGGTTTCCAGAAGCATAGAAGTATCTCATCAAGCTGCGCAAGAACATGAGGAGAAGCTCAATACTCAGTCAATAGAGAAGCAAATGGAGGAAGGGATCGATGACACTGCAGACAGACCTTGAGTTTCCTCCTGGCGTTGAATTTCTTCAGACACTCTACTGTCTCCTGTCTGTGCATCATGGAGGCCACTGTGGAGCGTTGCTGTGAGAGCAGGAGATCAGAGAGGGGTGTCACACAGGCATGTTTTATTAATGGTGGCAGTGGTAGAAGCACTCATAACTATCTATGCCTAATGTAGTGCCATGTTGAGAGCAGAAGGGAGCTGCTGATACACAACACACTCGCACCAGCTCTGACAGCACAAACATAGCACTGCAGTTCTTGAAAAAAAATGACAATTCACATAGCTTTAATACAGTACAAACAACTGTAATGGTATTACAATTTTACTGCAAAAACCTGGACTCTTGAAGGAAGAGATACTGATGACCTATTCTACTGTCTTTAATGTATGACTAGAGTTTCAGATAAGAGAAGCTGAGACTCAGATGCGATGGGTGTCAATAGAATGGTCTCCCCAGGACCCCAGGGGTCAGTGTTGAGAGGGTGGAGGTGGCGATACTCACGCAGACCCATGGGTGCTTCAGGGCCTCCTGTGCAGTGATCCGCTTGGCGGGGTTGATGGTCAGCATCTGGTTGATGAGGTTCTTGGCTTCTGGAGTGACCGTGTCCCACTCGGGGGAGGGGAACTGTGGGAAGGAGAAGGTGGGGTTGGGGGGAGGAGCTGAGTTTGGGGGGACAACCGCACAGATCTCGCGCCACAACCCACACAAGAGGACCAGGTGACCCCCAAAACACAGGAGAGGTCCCCGGAGGTCCCACATGTACACGCAAAAAGGCTCAGGCGCAGATTTAACAGAAACCTTGACCTGCTTGCCATTAGCAAACTAATTTGGAATTAAAACCTGGCCACAAGTCAAAGTTTTAATCTGAGTCAGTCTCCAGCCACAGGTTGAGTAAAACCCCTTTTTGTTTTGCTGTTAAGTCTGTCAAAAGCATACGGTCACCGCAGCACACCTGTAGCTGCTGAGAGGTGAGCGAAACATTCACAGGCTAAAACTGTGATGATCACAAATAGCAAAAAAGGATAGACAAATCTACAAAAAAAAAACAGTTCGGGTAATTATGTTCATCAGGCTGCATCCCACTATTTAATCTAAGCGAAAGTTAGAAACCCTTGACTTTAGGGGGTGTTCAAACTGGTATCCGTGACTGGAAGGCCGTAACAGTCTCTCCCTGTCCTCACGAACTGAGACAAGGCACACTCACATCATAGGCTCCTGCTTTGATCTGCTGGTACAGCTTGTGCTGGTCTTCATCCCAGAAGGGAGGATATCCCACAAGCAGGATGTACAGAATCACACCTGTGGCACAAACAGACAGAGTGAGAGGGAGAGACAGAGACACACATACCGCCTACAGCAAGAGGCAGGAAAGGACTGGCAAGCCACTATCGCTACTGTGATGCAATCAATGGTGCTGAAGAGATCCTCTGAAACAATACTAATCCACGGCAATTAATAACAGCGTATGATTAAAGAAAAAAATGATAAGATGGAATCCTGAAAGTATTAGCAACCAGATAATTCCAAAATGATCATGCTGCCAGATAATATCTTGATGAGCTTTTCTCCTTCATCACGTCATAACACAGACCCAGACTGCTTCCAGTCAGAAGCAACCGAGAAACAGACGCATCGGCTTCGGAAAGTGTTAAATGAATTGTACACTCATGGCGTGCCACGTAAGCTGGCTTTTCAGACTCGATATCGCTGAAAGAGCTCTCTTCTCGAGAGGGCGCGTCTGAGTGGCAACATGAATCACGGATCTCACCGCACGCCCAGATATCCACGGGCTTCCCGTACGCCTCCTTCCGCAGGACCTCTGGAGAAAGGTATCCTGGCGTCCCAGCAAACCCTGCCGGGACAAAGAGGGCCCGGCTCAGAAAGTACGGTTCTGATCCGCGGACAGGCTCAGTCACGGCAACCGCAACAGTTGTCATTAGACCGGTCATTCAGTTTGCAAAGTTGGGGGGGGCACACTTATTCGGCATTGCGAAACTAAAGTTTTACCTTGCAGCTGATATCGATATGACTTGCTGTCAAGGCAGTGCTGTCAGCTGGCACTCCAGTAGTGATAAAATGCAAAGATAAATGTCAGGTACACTGTCAAGAATCAAGTCCTACAGAGGATTACACAACTCTGCAACTGGAATCGTACTGGCTGCTCCTCAGCTGAAAACCTTTCACGGTGTCACAGGCCATAAGTCAATTGTTGAAGCCTGGAGCTGCTCCACATTTGAGAGTCTAATCCATCTGCCATGAAGTTGAATAATTAATCGTCTGTCTTGATGATGTGAAACCCCCTTGTGTTGTGCTCTGGAGTGATGGTGTGACCCAGGTGCGTACGTACCAAACCAGGCCTGCTGATCGCCCTGCACCTCAATGGCCAGCCCAAAGTCAGCCAGCTTCACAGCAGCATTCTTGCACTTACTGGCCAGGAGCAGGTTCTCTGGCTGGGGGAGAGAGAGGGGTGTGGAGGGTATGGGGGGAGGTCAGATTACAGCTGTACAGGTGCGATCCACGCATACACCACTGAAAGAAACATGTATCCTCTCGCACCCACTAAGTACTTAGTACTAATTACAACAGTAATTATTAAAACAAACCTTACTCACAGACCTTACAATCACATATACACTAACACAGAGCACACACACTCTCCACACGCAGCACAGAACACATTAACATAAACCACACATACTTTCAAACAGCAAATGCAGCCTCACACACCAACACAATAGCAGATCATACTGTCACAGATCACACATATTCAACAAATATTGTGACACACATTAACACAGACCACTCAAGCTCTCACACACATGCTCCAAATACAGCCAAACACAATAACATAGACCACGCACACTCATATATACAATCACATACACTAGCACAGACCACGCACACTCACATAAACAATCACATACACTAGCACAGACCACGCACACTCACATATACAATCACATACACTAGCACAGACCAAGCACACTCATATATACACAATCACATACACTAGCACAGACCACACACACTCAACAAATCCAGCAGCACACACCAACACCGACAGCACATACTGTACTCTCTTTCTCACACAGAAAATCAAGCGGCACACTGACACCATGCACACACAAACCCACACCACTCCGTCTCACAATTAGAAACTGACAAGCACACAACCGAACACACTGCCAAGCACGCATTTATAAGCTAACATGAACTGACAAAAGCACAGCAGGACAGACACCAACGCACAGGAACACACTTGCACATAACATACAGTACAGAAGCACCCACACAAACCCTGACTGACAGGCAGACAACATGCCCACACAGCTGAATGGAAAGCACATGACTCTGCTTTCAGAATGGGGAAGAGAGCTCTACCCCTGCACCTGCAATGAGGGAAAGTCAACTGCCTGGCAAATCTTTCAACTTGGAAACTGCCCCGCAGCTGTCTTTGTGAAAAACAGTCTTGCAGGGGATGATTTTTTTTTTCTTATTTTTGGGCTAGAAACTGGGAGAGGAGCTCTGGTCCCTTTCTGACTGTCCCAGATTAGGGTTGCTCATTAATCTCTGTCAGCACACGGTTTTAATTGTGCCATCCCAGCTGACAGACTAGCACACTGCAGATTTTGCTGTCGGTGCTTTTTTTTAAAATAAAAATCACACTTCTTAACGCACTGCATTTTATTTTTATCTTGTCCTCTGCCGAGGCAGGTGAAAGAGGCACACGTGCACACACACACACCTGCAGAGTGAACAGGTACTGTGCCTACAGTACACCACACTGGCTGAATTGATCATCGTCGTGACTACCTCTGCATTGCAGCTGCTCCTGCTAATTTCCCTCTTAGAGAAAAGCACCGAGGAGTCTCAACTCCTTCTCTGCTAGAATGCTGAAGCAAACTGGGGTTTCTCTCTGCTGCAGTCTTTGGCGCATCTGTATTCCAGCGTACCAACTAGGAGGCTAGAGGGTTACCGTTTCTGCACTTCTTGCCTGGAAAAATGTCCCCTGCTTGCCTTAATTGCTGTACTGCTTTTTTTAAATTGGCTTCAGTTTTTTTTTAAAGAAGATTTCTACTCTCTCACCCCCCCACCCCTCTTTTGTTATTTTTTTCTCTTGCTGATCAATGTTGTAAGGCAAACATTGTCCCTGTACTCCCCCCCACGCCACCTCTGTCTTCTGTGGGATTGGGGAACTAAAGCTCTTTTTCCTGACAGAAGGCCCACTTGTTGGCATTTTCTTTTCCCCTTCTTTCCTAGCATGAAAAAGGAGGACAAAATGAGTCTGGATCTCAGCTTTCTGATGGGGTGTCCCTTCCCCATTGCATAGGTGCTCCGAGATGCCGAACGGGACAGCCCACTATTTGACGTCTTAAAGCCCTGAGTATCAATCACGGCGTGCTGATTGCACGGACGCCCAAGAGGTGCTGCAAGCAGCCGGGCACCTGTCCTGGCGAGGGGTGGCGTATGAAGGAACAGGAAGGCAGACTCCTTTCAGCCCAGAACAGAGCAGAGGCAGGCAGTGAAGCATGGCTTACACACTGCGTCCTCCTCGCTCCACAAAACCACGCACACACAATAACTCAGCCAGCGATGCACACAAGAGCACGTACACTCCAGATGATAGCACAAAGGTGCACGTGCCCAGTACCGCACTGTTGACATTCACAGCACTGTAGGCCATTGCTACTTAATATACTGTTTTGATCAAGCATATTTACCCACGATTAATCATGATCCTATTTCACTCATAGAATAACAAATTATATGGTCTTAGATCTGTATCCAGATCCCCGCAGAGCTGGTTTGTCACTATACAGGTTTGCCAGAGTTTGCACGCCCTTACATAGGCCCAGTCACATATGACCCAGCTCGCACATGCTTGTCAAATCGCACACATTTCTCCCTCCATCCGGCGCTAAGCAAGCAGGTTAGGTTTATCATTCTGCAGTGGGAATGAATCGGGGGGAGAAAGTGGAGTTAGTGGGCGAGAATTGAGTAGTGTGGACTCTGGGATCACAAGAACCACATTAGCTAGGAGGAGAAGAAGGCTACTGACATACAGTTCATATGAAACTGCACCAAGTTACATCGTCACAGCTAAATACTGTAAGAAAGATGAAGGTACGTTAATTTCGCATAATTCCAGGTTCACTGAATTTCAATACAAGAGAGTTTTCCTGAAACATGAAAAGAAAGCTGGCATTCCTTGTCTGGCATGACACCATGCCTTTCAACACTGGGTGCAATACTTCTGCAGCAAACGGGTGTCCCCACAGCTTCACGAGAGGACACGTAGAAAAAGAATCCGAGTTCCGTCTCGGCTGGAGAACTGGTGCCTTCACTGAACACGTGGAGGCTTCTTGTGAATGTTGATATAAGGAAACAACTAAAAAAATCTGAATACAAAAAGGGGTGGAAAATATATTTTGGTTGTAACTTTTGCTTAATTTTATATTGTTTTATATTATGTCTAATTACCTGGAGCCCAAACGACATTCAAAACAAACTCAAATCATTGCTCCTCCTGCCAGTTGTAATTTACAAAGTACTTCATGGGAAGTTTCCAGAGGTCGCCCATGCCTCTGGCAAAAACAAAAATGCCAAGAACTACCTGAATTTGTAATTGTGTGACTGGTGGACATAATTGATAACATAATAACATAACGTGAGTTCAAGTACAGAAACAATATCCCACAAAACCAATTGATTTCCGATCAACAATTCCAATTCCGAACACCTCCGTGTGGTGAAATGCAAACAAGTCCTCAGACTGGTGGGAAGGTTTCCAGTTCTCGGCCAAAGGGACTGTTTAATTCCACTTGATAATTGTGCACAGAATCCCGCTGTCTTCAGCTCCAAACCATCTCAAACCGCAGACATTTTTGAAGGCCCATGAACCCATTTCAGAGGTCAACTATACTATGACTATGACCCACACATTACTGTCATGTGCTGTAAAGAAACACTGGGGGCTCTTTTGCCACTCTGTGACTGTGACTGACTGCTGCCTGTTCTTCAGTAGCACAGTGCACAGAATGAGCTGCCGAAAAAGAAATCAAGCCAAGCTGGGCTGCTTTCAATACTCTTTCACTGCTATCTTATCCACTTCAATTTTTCCTATAATTTTACATTTCTGTTAGTTTTTTTTTTCTATTTTGTTTAGACAATTTCTACCAGTACTTATTGATTAGAAATCAAACAGCAGTCGGGCTAGTTCCGAGTGCAGGCTGAGCCCCTACAGGACACACATGATCGGTCTGAAGCAATCGACTGTCTGTCTGAAGCAAGCCGACCGACAGCTTCTGATTTCAAGGCTGTGGGGACTGCTGGGAAGAAAACGTACTGGCTCTGCAATTCCAATCCAAAGAAAAGATAACCGTGATCGTTATGGCTACAGGATGCCGCCTTCCGACCAGCGACAAAGAACCGGAGATCAGTAAGCAATGTGCTTTACCTCTCGGACCTCTGATCTCTATCCATGGCCCAAACCAAGGGCTGGTGCTGACGCAATGGCAATCGAGGGCCTGGGCTCACCTTAGGCGACCTCATCCTTGCATCTACGCACATTGCTAAAGGAAAATCTGCCCCGACTGCCTTGAGGCGCCAAGTCCCCCTGTGACCGTCACATTGTTGAGGGTTTCACAGGAGGTATCCGGGCAAAACTAGTCATTCTGTTCTATCATGTGGTGTTCTATATCCTAGATGAGGGATCAGAAAATGCTGGAGGAAAGATGGTTAGTGGCAATGCCACCCTTGTGGAGCAAAGCAGAGAGAGCACAGACGGGAAGATCAAGTGAGCACTCTGGACTGAGGACAAGCAGCTGCATTCCCTGCCAGCACAGGTTTCGATCCATAACCACTTTCCCTCATTGCTCACAAACAGCACTGATGTGCTCTGGGCTTCTTTTGGACAAAACTGTTCTACAGATGATTCTTCTGTGATAGTGACAGCAAATCTTCACAGTACTGGAGAGGGGATGACAATAAGCGCTATGTTTTCTAAACATGCAAACCTCCAAATTTCATCATCTACATATTTGCAAAACAACTCCTATACCTCCTTGGATGAAATTGGATATTGCATCTTTGAAAAGGTTAAAGAAAAAGATTTCACGCCGACTATTCAAAGAAACATAATACACAAAGGGTTAAACTTCAGCATTATAAAAAGTCTTCCTTTTCATGCAGAATAGGCACACTTCATGCACACGCTCAATGCAAGACAGCACAGCTAGCAAGCCATACACAGCAGACTGCACAGGAAGGCCAGTCAGATTCATAATTCCGAGTCATTCCAGGTCTCTGAAAATATCTGCTCCCCTGTACAAGGTGTGGTGCAGATTACATGTGGTCACGAAGGCTTGGAGGACACTCACGCAATCTGACCGAAAGCACAGTTCAGGACACCAGTTAAAATATCTTTGACATCCAACACAGCTAACACATCAAAAAAGCTTTTGGAAAAAGGCACAATTACGGTAGTTTTGTTCCCCCATCAGATGAGTATAATTGCAAATGCACTGAATACATGCACACAGCATAGGATAACCATAAAACAAATGTATACAGTAAAAAATTAAAGGAGACTTTATCTCCGTCATCGGGCACGAAGTGAGACAGTAAGGGACGATGCTCAAGGTGCTTTCACAATGCACTCAAACCTGTATTGAGGATCACCTGGATCAAAGGCCCAGCTGTCTACAGTGACTCAATCACTTCGTGTATGACCTGTAATTGCCTGCCTACAGTGAGCATACACTCCATTGATCATGGAATATAGAGCGCTGTATAGTCATCAGATAATCCCTGTGCCTACAGTTTAAATCAGGTTAAAAAACCATTTGTCTTCTAATTACCAAACTAAAAATACTGAATACTGGCCATGCAGCCTACAGGATCTCTGCTTTATTTTTGATCCTACTGGCAGATATGATGAGACCACATTAATCCCAACATCTGACAACTCACCAGTCCACACAGGTGCACCTACTGGTCTTCTGAGTTAAGTCGTGCTGCAATGGACTAGACTTCACAATTAACTACTGGGGACCAGAAATGAACAGCAGCAGCCTCATTTGACTATTCTGCACACAAACTAAGTGTTGTTATGACTGTGTGTGGCACACAGCACACATATATATATACATGCAAAAAACTATGTTTGTGCTAAAAGAATAAATTAAGCATCCAAAAAGCAATAGCTTTCAGAAATCGTGAATGAGATCGAAATACAGATATAGGTATTTGAATAAAAGACTCCCTTTATAACACAAGCACAAACTACCCAAGTCTGTGCTTCCATTCTCTTAATGAAATTTGTCACACAACGATAGCCACAAAATCACACCCATCTCCAAACACCCACACAGAGAAATTGACACGCACAAAGACACACACGCACACGCCGGACACCACATCACATGACCTGTCACTCACCTTCAGGTCTCGGTGCACCACGCCCATTTGGTGGCAATGAAGCACCGCTTCCAGGATCTGCTGGATGCAATGACTGCATGCAAACACCAGGGGGCGCGTGTTAGTCAGAGCAGCGCTACAGTCCCGTGCACAGGCCAGGGCAGGGTGTACTCAACACACAGCTGCCTCTTTCAACCCAACCCAACACAACCCACTCCACTCTGCACCGGGGAAGCTACACTGCCCAATTGATTAGTTGACTTAACTAATCAAGAGGCTGGATGGCACTGAGTGGGCCAGGAGCTGAGAGTTTGCTTAGCTTTAAACCTGTACTTTATGTTTTTGCTAAATACACAAACCTGATAGACACACATTGTAGTTATGACGAACAAATTAGCATTATGGCAATGCTTTGGGCACGATTTTGACAAAGATTTCATTTTTGCCCATATAGACATAGCGTCCATAATCCTTGTTAATGTTATTTTCCATCATGAGCTGTTGCCACTTCAAAATCCCAAAAAGAGGCAAAGATGTCTTTAGTCTCTGACAGGACAGGTGGGGAGTGTTGAAGCTCTGATTTGCTTTCCGGGGAAGGTTACCTCGATACCTCCCAGACACTGAAGCAAGCGGGGGAATGCAAACTGCGCTACCATTCAATTCTTGCAGCTTCTCACTTTTACAACATTCTGTCACTTTCCTAAAGCCCAAGCTAGACCTGGAGCTGCTTCACAGATTTAACTGGGGGGATAGTTATGAAAATTGTGCTATGCAGCTGTTGGGATATATCTATATTACTATAGATATACCGATATAGATTTTATATCTATATATACCATGTATTCAATATGCTTAAAACGCATGCACACGTGTTCTGCCGTAGAAAGTATAAACATATCCCCCATGCACAAATCCATGCTGTCTGTGCACTGGAGCTGGCTGGCAAGAATTGCCTGGTTCAGTGTCGTGTTGTTAGGATTTGAGATAGGGGGTGTCTGTCCTGAAAGAGACCAGGCACAGACCCACTGCCACTCCGCTGTAGTCTTCAGCACCTCTGGTGCCTGCACTTATTCCTTCACTCGAGTGGCGCACTGATATCCCAAGTCAGGGAGCTGATCACAAGACAGAAAGATCTCCATCACCCTCCCACCCCTATTCCTTCCTCCCGGTAAAAAACGGAGACCGAGAGAGGAGGAGAGTGGATCTTCCGTTTGAATATCTCAATTATTCATGACAACATGTGCTGTGAGAGGGCGATTCTCCATGCCTCGTTCCCCTTGACTCTCACATGTTCTCTTCATAGATCCTGACTAAGGGGGGTTGTGAACTGAGAGACACAGCAAAAGACAGAGACCAGCAGGGAGGGAGGGAGGGAGACAGAGGGAAGTGGAAAGCTTGAGATTGTTACAGTGTCTCTCTCCGTCCCCTGCAGTGATTTACTCTGCCCTAACTGCAACAGCAGTAAAAGTTCAGAGTTGTAAATTAGGAGCCTGTGCTTATGTTTTAAAGGTCTTAGGATGAATTAATACTGAGCAGGTCACATCACTGCCTGCTCTGTGGGCGGTGGTGTGTGAGTGCTCCTGTGTGCACATGAGCATTTTCCACGAACGCCTCCGTTAAAGCATTCTGCTTTTCCACAGAGTATCGTTACACCGAGGGTCCTGCAGGTATCTGCACTCAGTCAGAAATATCTTTTTCATGTTGTAAGCCAACAGGTCTCATCCAAAAGCGAAAGGGGACCTAATAAGAGCAATGGAGCTGCAAGACGATATTTCCTGCCTGTTCCTGCAATTTAAAAGTACAGTTTTTTTCAGTACCCCACAACGAGCAGGGAAACACAGCCCTTCCATATGAAAGCTGCCTAATGGCTAGTGCAAACACTGCCTCCTGGTCATTGTTGAATAGAACAGGGCAGGAAATCTCACCCTGCAGATTAAGATGCTTTAACAGGGTGACAGCGTCAGTGTGTGTGCTGAACTGACCTTGACCTTCTGCACTCATTTCAATGTATGAAATTTAATACTTTTCTGGCCCCAGCAGAGCCCCTTCACCAACCTCCTTCCTCTGTCGCCCGCTCAGCTCTCTGACCTGGGGGGTGTAAAGTGCAGGTGTTTGGGGGCACTGGGAGGGCATGCAGAGGGACTGGACTTGGCTTGGCATCGTCGGATCATATGTTACTGTTATACGGCCCCTGCCTTGGCCCTGAGCAGCAGTGAGCTTCTTGCCTTGCTAAGATTTGAAAGCAGATATGACATAAGCAGTGCTTAAAACACAAGACCGGGGGGTTGTGGGAATATCGCCGGTTTGAATTTTGCAGCTTTGTTAAAACTACTGCTTATGTCATCATGGCTGAAAGCAGACCTTTGTTTCAACCCTTTTCAGTCCAGTGGTCTGGCTGTTTTGAATTTGGACCTGCAGCAGTTACTGACAAAATGCAGTTGCTCCAGCCCAGGTACACAAAACTGACCCCTGGACTGCTAGGGTTTTTTTTACAGATGTCCAGATATTCGCTATCAAGCTGGCATACTGCCATCAAAGATCAGCGCTGGTAAACTCCATCAGCGGCCATTTTTTCTTGGAACGAGTAACACAACTCAGAGTCTTAACAGTAACATATTTGCACACCTCATGGTTTAATTCGGGTCCTTTCCAAAGTAAAAAAAAAAAGATACACCAATAAAACAGACATATATACACATCGGTAAATACACATACAGATGCACATATATGTAGGTGCTCAACCGTTTGTATATATATGTAGTGTATAGCCACATATACATACAAACAACATGTTTTTCAACCAATAATGCTTTACGACATGAAATAACCAAAATAAACAGGTCGGAACACAGGAACTAGTCCAAATAATGACGCCACCAGCAATGCTGTATAGTCAGAGTCGGGGTGAAGGTTAGAGAGAGGGGGTGCATTGCCACAGAGTCAGACAGGGGGGGAGAGAGGAGTCAGTGCAGCGGGAGCAAGCTGAGAGTGCTGGAGCCAGAGACAGACAGACAGACGCGCTGGCAGGGCCAGCCCAGGACATTACAGCACTACACATACTGACCTTCAGGTCCCTGTGAACTATGTCATGTTGGTGAATGTGATTGACACTGTCTAGAATCTGATGGATACAGTGACTGTGAAGACAAAACAGAGGGAGGAGAGAGGGATGGAAATGCAGGGGAGGAGGGAGAGGGAGCACAGGGATGGATCGGGAGGGAAGTGAGGAAAAGCATCGGGAACAGGAGGGGAGGAGGGGATGGAGGGGAGTGATGTGGAGTGGAGGGGAAACAAGGGAATCAGAAGAGAGAGGGATATAGGGAAAGGGTAGGGAATGGAAGGCAGGAGAGAGGCATAGGGGACGGAGGAGGGCAGTGTAACAGGACAGAGGAAGAGAACAGGGCAGCACAGTCAAGGGAAGGAGGGGTGAGGAGAGGAGTGAATTCGGTGAGGAGGAGGAGTGAGGAGACAAAACAGTTTAAACAGGATGAGACTCTGAGACAGGGCTAACCACAACACTGCAGCACAGACCAGCCCGGCACACAACACAGAGAGAGAGGAGAGGGCAAAGAGAGAAAGAGCAAGACAGAGGAGGAGAGAAAAGACAGAGGAGTGGGTGGCAGAGCAAGAGATAAAAAAGGGACACGGAGAGACGGCAGAGCAATTGGAGGAAACGAGAGAGAGAGAGGAGGCAGCAAAAAAGAGCCAGAACAGAAGGAGAGCTTCGCTTGGGATTGTGTGCACTTGTCACTAAAAATGTCTTTCATGTGTCTTTGTATTTTCTAATCGGTAATCAATGAAAGAAGAAAGATGAGCACACCCAACACCCACTGAGTAAGTGCCGTAGGTAGAAACCTCTGCCCCCCACTGCGTGGGAAATTTAATTTGAAATGTAAATGAAAATTATTTGTAAAAGGGAATAATAAGAAAACATCCAGAGAAGCTTTTTGAAAGGACACCTTTGCACCCGTATTTGCCATTCTAATAAAGCGTTAATCGGAAAAAACCACAAGCAAGTCCCTTTCCTTCGAGGACATGACTAATGGCTGCAGCAGAAAGCCAGTTCGCGGGGATACCCACCCACTCAGTGTCTGTGGAGTGGGCAGGAGACGGACTGGGGCGAGAGGGGGTGCACTCAAGATCAGCAAACATACACCTCAACACCCCAGTACGACACACCCAGCATGACACACGCACACACACAGCCTTCTGCAAGGGACAACGTATACTGTGTAAGGAAACGTAGCCTGACAATGTCTCTCAGCTAAACTGGACATATTATAAAGTGTACCCATATAGTTTTCATTACTTTTTTAATACTGCAGTACTGTCAGTCACCATATGCTTCTTAACATTTCTCCTCCTTGTGGGAAGACGCACACACACCCTCACCACCATCCAATGAGCACACACCCTGCCTCTGCAGGCTGTACAAGCCCTGCAGACAAACTGTATCCGATCCTTTTTTGGCCCTGCAGAAAAACTGTCTTTGTATCAGATCCTTCTTTGAACTCTGAGCAGCACACAAGCCTCAGAAGGACCAAGAGCTTGTGCACAGACTTGGCTGCAGCAGCAATGAAATTGTATGCTAGGCTCACACAGCTCTGCCTGGGGGGGAGTGTTGACGATCCAGGAACTGGCATTGTTAAGGTTACTGGAGAGGGGGCGGAGGAAGGGAGCTGCTGCCCCATGGTATCAGATGGCTTCAAGCAGTCAGCAACTACATGCACTGACCCAGACAAGCAGCATAATTAAATTCGATTAAATCTGATTAAAATGCCTTTCTATGTCTAGTTACGGAGATGATTCACCCCTCATGGTGGGCAAAGCTGAGAACGGCAAAGAAAGAAAGCAATGTTCCTGCATCAGTAACAAATGTGTTCTTGCACACACACTCACACACATGCTCAGGGTGATCTACAGTCCTGTAAAACACAAAAGCAGCACTGGGTACAGAATACTTCCCTACCACACAACCACAATTCCAAAACCCCCTGAAGCCTCAAAAGAGTTAAGTCAGAATTAATAAGTGCATGAGAGGCAGACCCAGGCTCTAATTATCTTCACTAATTAAAGCCCTATTTTCTCCCTGTCTCCTAGGGAAAAGGGGATCACCGGTGGCCTGGATAGTGAGAAATGAACAAGGTTCGTTAACTGACCCACTGGGACACGGCTAATGGGAGAACAGTCCCACAGCCTCTCACCCCCAGTCCAAGCAGAGGGGTTACAGCATGTTACAGACACACAGGCCCACACAGGCAGCCTAAGCCATACACACCTGCTTCTCTCACTGCACTGAAAAGCTCAGTACACCCACTGCACACCCACGGGCGCACTGCAGCCCCCCGTCACTGAAACAGCCCACTGAACACTCATCTGGCTGGAAAGGCCTTACAGCTGCACTTCAGCACAAAGCTTTGCAGAACAGAAACACGTCGGGCCCACAAAATTTGCTCATCAGGTCAGGAAGGGAAAACCCACCCAGTTAGCAAAAGAAAGCTCGGGTCCCTGTTCCACCCCCAGTACTTCAGCCCTGTCGCTCTCTACAGCTGTAAGGAAAGTGCCCATTGGCATCCTGACGTGGGTGTTAAGTGACAACAGAAAGTGTGGTATTGTGGTCAGTGCAGTCTGAACCTTTCTGCAGTTGAACACGACTTAACGTGACTCAGCTAGATCACTGTTCTGGCATCCATGAGTGGTGCGGGAGAGAGAGAGTTCAACAAGCTGAGAGGAAGAGAGAGTATTTGATAGGTGGACAGCTCGGAGATCAGAGCAGACAGCAAGAGAAAGGAAGAGAAAGGCTACCAGAAAGGGATAGAGAGAGGCAGGATGGTGTCTGGACCTGGTTCTGAAATCTCTAGTTCTAGATTAAACTCCTCTTTGATGACATGCAAGTTCAGAAAACAAGTGTGATATGTGACCCTTAAAACACAATGAACTGCTTAATTCTAGTTTCCAAATTGTTTTTCTTTCTTCCACATAGACACATCAGGCAATATTAATTGTTGTTAATTGTGCGTAGAACTACCTGCTGGCTAATTATTTATTGTGCAAACTACTGATTAGGCACTTTGACAAATGGAATTACGGGAACACAAAGCAAGCTTTGCTGTGAGCAGAACATTGCTTCTGCAGCTCACGATGGAGGTGCAAGATTCCTCCAGTTTGTGTGCATGTGAGAGAGGGGGTCAGGAACGCCAGAAGAGGCACAGAGAAGCTAAGGCAGAGAAAGAGAGGAAAAGAAAAGGGAGGGGAGGAAGGAGGGAAACAGAAAGCAAGGGATGAACGTACCTGGCATCCGCCTCACTGTAGTATTCTCTGGCAACAATGTCTTCAAACAGCTCTCCTCCAGTCACCCTGAAACACACAGAGACACTATCACAGCTGGCAGACCGGGTGGTGAGCAGTATGCTAAACCAAGGACCAGAACAGCCGTGTTCTGTGGACAATGGACAAGCAGTAATCGACATCCGTTTGCACAGACGAGGACTTCCATGTGCTTCAGCAGGGCCGACGTGTGGCTGGCGTGCCAGTCAGGTCCTGTGGGCCAGAAAGCTGGAATCTGAGCAACACCTTTGGCTAGCTAATAGCTGGGTTGTCCTGGCAGAGACTCAGGGTGGGCTGATGCCCCTGGAGCGAGGGGTCAGTTGATCTGGATTTACTGTGCTTGACTTGCTGGGCGCTCAGGAGCTTTAGGTGTTACTGCTGAGACAGCTGCTTATGTCCTCTCTGCATTACCAAACAAACTGTTAAACAGGACTGGAGTAGCTAAATTTGAAAAATGCAAGGTAGCTTTGTGTGTACTCCTTTACTTAAAAGCAGGGAACGAGTGATCTTGCTCACAGGGCATGTCCTCTTAAGATGCAGCAGTTAGTGGCACAGGAGTATTCAAATTGCACACAGCTTCACGCACTATGCTAATCTTCATGTTAAGAGCTCGGATACTGAAGGTACAAATAGTAGGAATGTCATCTCATTCTGTAATTATCTAGTTGAACAACTGCCTTGTCGGACTCTTAATTGGCACTTACGTGCAGGGACATAAGAAAGCGAAATTATCGGGGGAAGAAGAAGATCCCTGTTTCACAGCGATTACTGACAGACTTGCTTGTTGTCCCTCTGTCTCGGTCAGGTTCCTTCTCTTGTGCTAAACGCTTCTCTGTCAGCCTTTCCTTTTCGCTGCAGTCTGAGGGAATCCTTTCAACAGGATCTCGGCACACTGAGGGAAACCCCTGTCGGAGGAATCCCATCTGCTGGGCAGCCCAGGGCTGTTGCCATGGAAACGAGCCCGCGCTCAGGAACGCGGCGCGCGGGAGGGAGAAGGAGTGGGCCGACGGGACGATGGATGGGCGAGACGTGACATTTATGGAGAGGGACCGGAGAGGTGGAGAGGGAGCGCGTGCGTGCGCGGGCGAAAGCGACGGATAAGAGGGCGGCAGTGCCGGACAGAGGAGGAGGGACAGACACCAGCCGCAGAGGAAAGGAGGGAGGCAGAGAAACAAAAGGGGAGAGGAAATGGAAGACGGAAGGATGGACGACACTCACAGGTCAAAGAGGAGGTAGTGGAAGCCTTCTTCCGATATACTGTCATGGAGACGAACTGCAAAAGAGGAGGACACCGGGTTACAGGTCTTCAAACAGATTCACAGACACCAAACGAAACCCACGTTTTCGTTTTGCAGTGAACGGTCTATGCTGTGTGGCGTTGTCTGTTGTACTGTGTTGTCTGTGTCCTGAGAGAATGGCATGAAGAAGAACACCAATGCACACGTGCAGAAGGCAGCAAACTCCTCTACTCCACACCGACCGACCACACATATAGGCAGAAACAAGCACACGCACAACACGCCTACCGGTGACACATGCTCACAGACTCCAGAGGCCAGGACCACACTCAATTCCCAGAAAGCTTTGCAGAACAGAAACCCGCGCACGCAGACCCTCACCGATGTTGGAGTGCTTGAGCAGGCGGCAGATACGAGCCTCGCGCTCCAGCTTCTGGTGGTCTGGGGAGAGAGAGACAGAGACAGAGACAGAGGCGCGTCAGGTAAACGTCGGGAAGAGGGGGGAATCGGAGTCGGAGATGGAGAAAGAGAGAGACGGGGCAGGTAGTGCCAGCCGGGAAAGAGGCCGAGCAAGAGAAGGAGCCAGGCAGCGAGACGACGAGAGACGGCTATGTTGCGCGGGTGTCTGCGCTACAGCTTTGGCGCCTCCTCTGGTCAGATGGCGGAAGCTCGGCAAGGCCGGGCCTGCTCAGTATTGATATGGGAGACATCTAAGGGAAACCAGGTCACCTCTGTCCATAGTGTCAGGACTATTGTCTATTGCAAATTTTTTTGTAAAGCGTAAACTGAAAAACAGAGGCAGAACCGATTTTATGGAAAAAGGCGCAGACTTACATGATAAAAGACAGAGCGTGGCAGAGAGAGAAAGATGGGCACTAGTGAAAATACACCCTGCCAGCCAGATCTACAGATTTAATCAGCACTGGAGTGGGGCATTAACTAGGCAGCTCTTACAGATGGCAGCACTCCACAGACCTCAATTCCACTGAATACACTGGCGGTGAAGTTGCAGGGCTACAGCCATGTGCAGGAACTGAGGGAGGGGGAGACTCACAGAAGACATACTGACAGCACCGCAGCCGCGGAGTAGCTACAAAGAATGAAGCAGACTGAAACACAGATGCAACATGCTGATCAACATGCTGATCGCTGCAACAATAATAAGAAAGGACCAAAGGCAGCCGTAATGAAACAGACACTCAGACATCGGGGTTTAGAAAGTCAGCCGGCCCACCCAAACAAGAAGTACATTATGAAACAGTAGGTGTCCATGAGAGCAGAGCAGACCATTCCAGCCATCACAGACACGGTGAGCCTATATAGCGCCTTCTGGCGTCTACGGTTGCTGTGAGCACTCCCCAGGGGAGTCTTCTGTAGATCTGCAGTCGTCAATTTCACTGCTGCATGGCGCAGAGATTTCAGGATGTAGTTCTTTCAACAGGCAAATTAGGTTTCGAAGCGGTATATACGATAGGTAATAAATCAATATACATCTGCAATAAATCGACCTACTTAGTCTGTCCTCATTACAGTACAATCAGCTTTCATGTTACACTTGACTTGCAGCATTACTGTGCAGTCTCTCTTCCCCTTTCCACTCCTCCTCCCCCTTGCTCATCTTTCTCGGTATCTTTTTCCGTCTCCACCTGCATGTATTTTCCGTGTGACCCCGCCCCTGCCTCTCCCTTTTTCCCCACCTCTCTTCCTCACGCACACACACACTCTCTCGGCAGTAACAGCACACTGGGGGCCCCGAGCTGCGCTGGTCAACTGCCCGTGACGTGACAGGAATGGACGAGGCGGTCAGGGGAGCACACTGCGGCCTTCGCTGACAGATGGGTACCACGGGTGGCACTGGTGCCCCGTATGGTCACCTGCCTCTCGGAAAGCGAGTTCTGTGTGAGATCCTGCAGGGTGACGAGGCAGCTAACGGGCAGTGTCCTCTCGCCCTGTCCTACTGCTCTCCGTCTGCTCAGGACGAGGGCTCACACTGCTCCTTCAGCCCTCAGATTCTACACAAGACCACTTTCAGGCTCTCCAGCCTTGAGCCCATCCACCGTAACCCCCACTTTCTGATTCTTCTTCTGTTCCAACGCTGCTGCCCTGCCTTTACTCTGCTATTCCTGTCTTTGCATTATCCCTTTCAGGTATTCCATCAAAAACGTCTACCAGTGCATTTCGATGACAAACATGCTCTCGCTCACTGACATCTGCTCACATGCCAAGAGGAAAACAGCCTAGCAGCCAGCCAGCTCCCTGTCCGTTCATTCATGTGGAACTCCTACACTGCCATCAGGTCATGCTCCAGCCCGGGAATTTCACTGGAACAGGGGTTCTGGTCACAAAGCTGGGCAATTCAGTTCACTTTGAATCATTATTGAACCAAATGCACAGAACGAAATCCCCGAAAACCAAACTTCCACCCAGCAACACGCTCTTTGTCACTGTACTGACAAACATCAAGACACGGGTTCTAACAGTATACAGAGAGGATGAGTGAATCTTTCCCTAGGGCAAGTAAAACTTCTGTGAATCCACCTCTTTATCCAAATATCAACACCACTCTTCATAAAACATGGCCTGTGAATAACACATTTATGACCCTTCAGACAATGCAGGTGCCTTGTGAGCATGTTTCTGTAGGTGGTAGCATTTGCAGGAAGAAAGGTACTAATTGTGTGAAAGTCGACCCATAAAGGAGGGGGCAGCACTGACACAGACCCGGTGGAGCGCAGGAGTCAGGGTGCACTTGCCTCACATACGCTGGAGCAGTGTGCAGTGCAGCTGTCAGCCAGAGCCGGCTAAGGGGGGAGATGGGGCTGGTCAATAATTAAAGAGCAGGAGGAAGACAAACAGAGCTACAAACCAATCTGCAGACCGACATGACTAGAATGCAGACGCACCCAGAGCAGGAGCCACACACTGAGCATGCACGCTCAGCACATACTCGAGCAGACACGCGGGCACCTGCTTTTTGGTATACAAATGAATCAAATGTATGACCATGAACACTAAAACATATGCACACAGCTCAAATCCTTGCAAAAAACCCTAAGCGTCATAAACGGCATCAGAAAAATAAATATATTCAAACAGTAGGGTAGCTGACACCAGTACATGACACTTGTAGCACGAATATAATACACAGCCTTCGATTGCAACCAGGGCCTGTAATGGCTTCTGTCTGTATCCTTTCATCAGCACTGGTACACACTGATCCATGTAGATCTGCTCTCTTCCCATTTGTACAAATAGAAAATGAATGAAAACTGATAAACTATTATTAAGCTAGAGAGATTAAAATAACATATCAAGATTTTCAATGTTGTTACTTCAGGGCTCAGAATTGGGGTTCAGGACCTGCCAGATTCTGATGGCATCCTGCTTATTTACTTGGATTCTAACCTGCCAGAATGAACAAATGAAGGTTCATTAGGAAGTGTTTAGGGGTTTTGGATTCCAGAGCTGAAGGTCATGGGTTCAAATCCTGGTTGGGACACAGCTGTCTACTCTTGAACAGGCCGCTTTACTCAGATTTCACCACCTAATGTCCTGCTGTAAATTGATATGTTTTACATAGTTACTGCAAATTTGTCCTTATTTGACTCATTTAGCTAAATAAAAGATTTGAACAATCAGACGGTATTGTGGTAGGGTCTAAAACACTTCCATGATGTGTATTTGACATTATGTCGAGCACTGGCCTGTAAACGCAGACCATCCCAAACTGTATCCAGTAGGTTTTTGCGCACCTAGTGTAACCATTACATGTTGTTCTGAAATCAGTACTGATGTTAACATCAGGTGCAGAAAAAAAAGTGCTGACATAAGACAAGTGACAAGACGCACATCATATGGAGATCTGTGTACTAATTATTTTTCTCCTATAAAATCAAGATGTACTGTACTAGCCTTCTCTATTACAGAACTGTACAGAACGCCAATAAAAATGACAGAACAAGTAGAAAAAAGCCTTCAGGGAGCACACCGTGCAAACGATGTGCTCACTGAGTAAGAAAATCTACAGAATGACAACTCTGTGCCCAGATGCTGCTTATTTACTGTTTTGCTGCTGTGAAACAATATGAGCGCTGCTAGCATCTTCTCATGACTCATCTGCATTTGCAGAAAGAAGAGAGCGCAAAAAGGGATGACTCTCCCAATCAAAGAAATGAAATGCTCCCGTCTTCTCGTCAGCCCACGCTGTTCTCTCTCATCCTTGCCATCGGTGTAACCCTCTCCCTCCCACAGCCCACTGCCACTCACCCGGGCACAGGGCCCCGCAGGGCCTCAGCTCACCCGGGCACAGGGGCCCCACGGGGCCTCAGCTCACCCGGGCACAGGGACCTGCATGGCCTCAGCTCACCCGGGCACAGGGGCCCCACAGGGCCTCAGC